CTAGAAACATTGAGAAACCACATATAATATTCTGATATGCTATGTTGCAGCGATTGCAGATAATCTCTCTGTATAAATTTATAGATTTTTGTTGCAAATACAATAATTATTACACTGCCAATGCGTTCATACGTTAAGAGAACTAATAATTTATTTAAATAATTTCGCAAACGTTGCTCTTTAGAAACTTTCCAAGTGTGCTAACCGCACAATTAGCATAATATGTGCATGCGTTGTTGGGAAAAAAATAACTGGTATTTTTCTTCTTCCACGATCAAAGTGGTTTCCGATTATACAGTACGTTTTATTTTTACCCGTTTGTTACGAAAAATAATTTGCAAGTCGATTTAAACAGTCTTTGAAGTGTTTTTGTAGAAATAAAAAATATTAGCAATTTGTTTTCGTTTGACTTATATAAGTATTATGATATTATACACTGTATGTTTTATTTTCTGCGTATTTTATCAGAAAAATAATAGATAATTTATTTTTTCAAATAGTAATTAAGCAAATTGAAATGTTTTTTTAGAATAAAAAAAAAATATTTTTAATTTGATTTCTATTTGATAATTAAATAGATTTTAGCTTTGTTCAAGTTGTTTATTTTGAATGAATCACGATTCTATTTTACGACTCATCGTTTAAATGTTATGGATCCGTGCTGGCTACGATTCATTTGAACGAACCGTATTCTAAGCAGTGAATCTAATCTCACGATTCATTTTTAATATTCGTTCAAATGAACGACTCGTTCAATCTTTGCCCACCTCTAACACGGACTATATTTTGTAATTGTTAATCAGAATATAAGTGATTTGTCTGTATTTCTTTCTGTATTTGTAACTTCCTTGTACCATTTGCAGTTTCTTCTGTCACAGTTAATCGTTTTAACACTTTGACAGACCATTTTTTTGTAATGATGCTAATTATACAGTCAATTGCTTCCGTTTAGTACTGTGATTAATTCCAAACAGGATCTGAGTACAACCATGTAAAAAAGATCGTTGTAATAATAATAATTCGTATAATTTAAAACGCGTTAATAAAAATGATCTGGTAGTTAAATGTTGCATGCTAATAAATAATATAAATTTCACTGTGGAAAGGCTGCAGTCGCTTTCTTTATTTGCATATGCATTCAGTTTGTTTATGAATATGTAAACGATGTTTTAAGGATTTTCAAGGGAAATTATTAGCTGCATGTCTTAGTTGTATGGCGTGCAGTTTTTTAAATATAATATACAATATAACACAGCGAAGAAAAAAAGCAGGATTGTGTATAAATGTTTTGTATTTGTAGGTTTAACCTTTTATAGGGCAGTACTAATTAGGTACGAATGCTTAATTTTACTTTTTTAATTTATTGACTATTAAAAATTAAAGCAATGGTCACACTACGATCAGTATAATTAAATAATCTGTGGACTTTAGAACCCATCTGTATATCATTCACCAGATCTTTTACCTAAGTATTAGTATTAATTGACTCTTCCATGACAAGCATTTTTTATATCCTTTCTATAATTTATTGTGCAATTCTTAAACATCTTCTGTAACATTGCCAAAAATTGACTACTTAACAGTTAAATTTATTATATAGGGTTACCCAATTTTCTGTTCCAAGACTTTTAACATTAAAACAAAATTTATTTACACTATAAAACAATTTTTTTATTTCTTATTGCTGCTGAACCTAACTTAAGTACACTCGGGGGGTATAATCTGTTAATTAATTTTAATCCATTTAATAAATCCAAAAATATATATTAACACACTACCAACTACTTAAGACAAATATTTTCAAAAAATATTCAGTTATTCAGGGGTAAAAAATTCCAATGGGCTTTATCATACATCAAATTTATTTTAAATGTTTTTTTTTCGAATTTATCAGGAAAAAGGCGGTTTATTTGAATATTTCTAATTTTACTGCGTACGTGAGAATGATAGGTGTATTTTTACCTATCAAATAAAATTACTATTTTGTTAAGAAACGTATAGGCATAACGTTAACATTATAGTAAGTTAGTCATGGTCTATAAATATTTTCGGTATTTTAAATTTAAAAAAAAGGTGTTCATAATATCTATGGGTGAGTGTAGGTAAAATTGTGAAAAGTTAATGAAAATGGCTTTGTTTAAGACAAAAAAAGTATGAGTCAACTTGTAAAAGAATTTTTGTGATAAAACTACATACTCTAATAAAAATATAAGGGCTAATTCAACTAAAAATATATTTTCTAACAAGCAGATTTGTAGACTTGCTTTGGCTTATTCTTTGTGTACTAAGGGCTGGCAAAGGTTAGTCTTGGGTCGAGATTTCCGTATGTAGGAAGAGTACAATGCGTTTATAATGTACTGAACAAAGAGAGGACAGTAAACACGTTGCCAAACGTATGAAATCAACCGAGAAACTGTGCACATCGCTAGAGACGTGGAAGGGGATATAGCAGATTTATCGCAGTTGACCGATCGACCCAATCAATAGCGTTTTTCGTTTTCCTGTTATTGCCGATTCCGAATCGTCCTAGAACTCTGCAGCGCATGCGCAAATGAAATAATGTCTTCATATTTCCTTCTGCGCATACGCATCACAGTTCGAGGACGGTTCAAAATCGGTAATAACAGGAAAACGAAAAAAGCTATTACCTCTGTCAGTACCATAGTCAGTACTTAAAGTTCTAGGGAAAGGTGTACGTTATGCATTCAGCTTCACGATTTAATTACGTCTCGTGATACTTGATTTGTTTATTTATTAACGAGTCGTTGTAATTTTGCCGATAACTCGAATTTTTTTAAGTGCAAGCTAGAAACACTTGCATTTTTGGTAAAAATAAGTGGAATTGAGTGGGTGTTAGATAGTGGTCGCGCTATTAGAACTCTGAATTCAAAAATCGATATCTCGAAATCTATTAGAAATAATAGATTGTAGTTTTTTCAAGAACTTTGTTAATATTTCTGCTGTATATTCTTTGTAGACAGTATGTGAAAATCTTTATCAATAAAAAAATTACACGATTGCTGAAAATTGCTATGCTCTAAAAGTAAATGGATGGATTGTTTACAATTTTTCAATGGAAAAAACAACCTTATCGAATTTTTCTTATGTAAACATATTGTAAAATATCCGATCTTGAAAATAAAAAAAAATATCTTATCTCAATATCTAAAGTGGTTGATGCGATAAAGTGGTTGTTGCGATCGTTATTTTACTTTACTGGATAGGTATCGGCAACGCCGCAACAGCACACCGTCGCCCGTCGCGTCGGTCGGTCGCATTTCTCTCACTCCGACTTAATAAGATCCCTATGCGATTTACTTCCACACATGTAAATGCCGACCCAAAAGCAACAGTTGCCAGCACGGTATATCATTTTTTACCTTAGATTAAAGAATATCTAAAAAATAAATTCATGGTTCTTAAAGTTATTTTTAAACTTGTAAAATTTAAAAAGTGTATATGGTGTCCCATATAAGAACGTACATTGCAGAGATCTCGTAAACCAGGAGAGATACAAAGTTGATTAAATTAAAAAAAAAAAGTTGCGCCTAGCTGAATTCGTGTGTATTGTTATATGGGACATCCTGTATATATAAATAAGAACAATTTCTATATTTTTTATTTGAAAAATTTGTCCTTTTTTTCCTAAAAAGTAAATATTTTTATGGAATAACTTCTCCCATTTCGGTGTACTTCTACAAACTAAAGGAAGTGATCTAACCATATTTACTGATAATAAACATGTGTTGAATATAATGATGTAATACTTTTTTCCGCTATGGGAAAACTGGAAGTATACAGTACCGCCCAAAAATACCTACTACTGACAAATTCTTATAAAAATATTAAATAATCAACCTTTTTTTACTATGTAAGTAAGCAAAAGAAACTATAATTATAAATTTGATAATTAAAATATTATTATAATAGTCATTCTTCAATAATATTTCTATATTCTGTACTAGGCATAATGTACAACTAGATATGCAACAAATAAACGCATATTGTTAATATAATTTAATTTCATATCATTATGTATTATTTTTCAGTCTATTGTTGTCTAAAAACATAAAAACTAACAATAGATAATTACTATAATCTCCAAAAATACCTGGAGATTCTGTATTTTGAATTAGAAACGAACTTCAAGTTGTTTCTATTTTAATTGTTTGTTATTATTTATTTCTAACAATAGTTGCATTATACAAACGGTACAAATATGCATATTTCTAATAAAATGTCTTTTTTTGCTAAAATTCCCGAAAAAAACATGAAAATATTACTATACAGGGTGTGTCATAAAGAGGTGCACATATTTTCACAACGATAAATCTCGACACAAGAAAGATCTCGATAAATTTTACTCTGAAGTTCTCTGCGCAGTTTATAGTAGTATATAGTTTACAATAATCACGAAAACCAGCTTGTCATATTGAAAAATAACTTAAAAAAAATGATAATTGAAAAAATTTCAAATTGTTGGTGTCGGGTTAATTTCGCTCTAAAAAATTAACCAAGGCATATATTGACATGATCCAAAAAACAAAATGCTCAAGAGATATGGTTCTAACCGTAAACTTATATTTCAGGAAAATTTACACACGAAATTATTGCACAGGGTGTTTTGGTTTGGTTTGGGTAAAAAACGACCGCTCGATTAACCCTGTATAAAATGCCAAATGCTAAAGTTTATAAAAAACTGAGTTTACGAATTGAAGTTGATAAAATTATATACCTACAGCTGGATAAAAAATTCAAGAAAATAGGGATAAAAATAACAAAAATATAACACTTTAAATTTGACCAAAAATTTAAGTGTATTAAAAAACTTAACGTAAAAAAAATTGATCTCTAAGATACCCATCTGAAACGTGATTTTCAGTGCGATATATCTTACACACACATGCCCCCAGCGGATTTCCACAGTCTCCCGGAAATCCCCACCAATCCCCCATCTCCCGTCTTATAAAAGTAACCACATACCTCCAATCCCCAATCAAACGCATACGAACGATCACACAACGCGTACCATACGTCATTCTTACGTTTCGCGAGTGTAGTGCCTACAGTGTGGACCCACATTAACGCTAGATCAACTCAAAATCAGTGAAAAATCTTTTTTAAGTCAGTAACCATCAATAGTTCTTCATAAAATCGATCAAATCTCACCCAAAATGGATGTCGAAGAGTTCCGGAACCGTGGTAAAGAGATGATAGACTATATTTGTACCTATATGACGAATTTGGGGACTCAGAGGGTTACTCCTCAGGTTGAGCCGGGGTATTTGAAGGATTTGGTGCCGAGTGAGGCACCAATGGAGCCGGAAAAATGGGAAGATATCATGGATGATGTGGATAAGAAAATTATGCCTGGGATAACACACTGGCAGCATCCGAGGTTCCACGCTTACTTTCCCAGTGGAAATTCCTATCCGTCAATTTTGGCAGATATGTTGTCTGATGCTATCGGATGTATTGGATTTTCTTGGGTGAGTTTCAAGTGTTTTTGTTTTTGCTGTGAAATTTTACTAAACACTGATCTTTTCTTCAAAAAAAGACTTCTGAGTTCTAAAATCTACAAAATAAAATAGTTATTATACTACTGAAAAAAAATTTCCTAACAAAAAGCTATTTAAAATATCTAAGTACAATTATTCAAGAACAACTTCAAGTCAAACATCAAAATTGACAATTATTACTACCTGATATCATTTACTTATGTTATGCTTGTTGAGAGATTTTTCCTGTGTTCCATGAATGATGACAAATCTTAGATTTGTAAAATTCGCCCTTTTTAAATAATCTTTATGTTCTTTAATTTGAATATTTAAAAGACCAAGACTTCCTCAGTCTTACCGCGCACATCACTAGTTAGATGGAAGAGCAGAATTTTATTTATTGTCAATTATATTGAATTTTGCTCTTTTTCAGTTGTTTTATTATTTGTTGTTGTTTAGTTTATAAATTTGCATTATCTTTGATATATATCTTTAGATTTATTTTTATTTTACCACTGTTAATTATAATTATACGTTTTTCTTATGTCATTAGATAATATATCCACAATATTTTTAATGTATCACTTATTTGCACCCCATGTATATTAAAAAATATTTTGTAATGTAAACGGAAATTTTTACTTAGTAAAAAAATCTATAATTTACTCCTGATTATCACCTTTTTCATGAACATTTGTTGCTAAACATTTTCACTTTTCTAAAATAAAAAAAAACTTACAAATATAACAAATTTTTTATAAACTATACTTCACGAGAATATTTTATTTTGTAATTTTTGTTTAAATATTTTTCAGTTGTCTTCTCATTTTTTATTAAAATTAAAATTTTAAATTCCAATTTTTACTGAAAAAAAAAATTTGAGTAGTCAATGTATGTATAACTTGTTGGTTAAAATTTTTGAAAAAATTCTACTATACCGGGTGTTGCATCGTCGGACGGGACATAGGAAATCCCATGTAAATTTTAATGGGGTCAATTATTGGCTTCCCTAATTATTTTAGAGAATAATTCTATTTAGGTTTATTGAAGAGCACTAAAACCCACATTCAAAAGAATAACTTTAGATATTTTACGAGTTATCGCCGATTTCTTTTTAAATATTTCTCCTTTCTTATGGCCCTGTATTTACTTATGAGCACCAGTCAAGGTAAAAGATAACAACTGTCAAATGAAGTTGTCATTTCAGAAATTTATCTATTTAGTGCTTTATTTTACTTTAATTCATATTAATTTGTATTTATAAATACATATTTAAGATTTCCGATGTAGGAACGAGTTTTCAATAATAATAAAGCACTAAATAAGTCAATTTCTGAAATGACAACTTCATTTGACAGTTATTTTTTACCTTGAATGGTGCTCATAAGTAAATAGAGGGCCATAAGAAAGGAGAAATATTTAAAAAGAAATCGGCGATAACTCGGAAACGGGCTAATCAAAAATATCTAAAGTTATTCTTTTGAATGTGGGTTTTAGTGCTCTTCAATAAACCTAAATAGAATTATTCTCTAAAATAATTAGGGAAGCCAATAATTGACCCCATTAAAATTTACATGGGATTTCCTATGTCCCGTCCGACGATGCAACACCTGGTATATGTATATATGTCACTATGACCTTCAAAAATAAAGAGAGAAAATACAGAGCACATAATGATGATCATTAAAATTAGGTAATTAGTGTTGCAACTCAGAGATCTCGTATTTTTTTATTACTTAGTAAACAAACCCAGTGAAGCAATAGTTTAGAATATTATGAATAAAGTATAGATACACCCAATGTCTGCTAATAAAATATATACCTATTTAACATAATCATCATTAGAAAATTGTTTGTCATGAACAAAGGTTGCGTAATTTTTTCACACTTAAATCATAATACAGGGTGTTTGTTAAGTAGTTAAGATAGAATAAGTTTCGATTTTTTATTCCAGCTTAAAATTTAGGCTTTTTAAAAAAATATTATCTCGCTTTGAAGTGAACACGATATAATTATTTATTATCTATTAAGAAATAATCAACTTATGTGTTTTTTGACACTAATAAAACTTCTGAAAAAATCCTGAAACTTGGATCTGTTTTTTCTGTAAATTTAAAATAGTGAAACGTCGAAAATACCCTGTACATTGGTTTATAATTACTATAATACTTCTTAGTTTATTAAAAAAAAATAATCTAATATCAATTAATATGTTTATTATTTTTATTCAATAAATGGTTAAGTTTAACTTATAATAAAACTATCGCAACTTTTGACTGTTGCTTTTTTTGGTCAAATCAAAGTCACAAGACAATCCAAGACAGTGTCTCATTAACGCGATTATTTTCAGACTTTAGTCATAAATTTATTTTCGAACGTTTTATTTTGCTAGTTAGTGACAAATCAGGGAGAGATCTAAATGATTTTTGTTTTAGTTTAATGGATCTATTAGAAAACACGCGTGTTCTATTATGTTTTCGTCGCTTTGTATATTTTACTCAAGTTGGTTAATTGTAGACTGTGGGTATAAAGAGTAATGATAAATCCAAAAGCTATTTTAATGTTATTTTCTTAAAATAGAAAGCGAATTTTAAGCCTGGTTTACATCGATGTTGGACATTACGTCTTACCTCTTCGATTAAGGCATAGAATGTAGACACAGAACACACTAAAGAAGAACGCTAACTCCCATGCATTTTTTAGTTTCAAAACGGTTTCAAATTTGTAAAGAAATCTGTAATCTGTATATTGAAGTGGCGCCATCTAGCCACCCAGGAAAGTAACAAATGTGGCGGCAAATTTAAATAGATGCAATTTATTTTTAAGCAAGACGTATTGACTTGTTCGCCAGTTAGAGCCAATCAGATTTCTACAAAATAATGTGTAGTCATCTGATTGGTCCCAAGTTGGCAAACAAGTCAAGTGGTACCATTTTATTCTTAGAGTTGTCTAAGATGTCTCTGTTGCAACTTGTTTCATGCGTTCATGTGTCGGCGGTATGGCATCGGCACCCAGGTTTCGCTTCCAAATAACATGGTGGGAATTATTATCGCTCGGTACACCGCAAGTTTCGTTTTTGTGCTCAATTCATGATTGTAGAAAACCCTGTCTTTTAATTTCCAGAATGCTCTTGAGGCGCTGCTAATCCTGTGCTGAATTTCAGAGTCGATATTGGCCTTTTCCGAAATCAAACTGCCGAGGTAATTGAATTCCGCTACATATTCCAACAGCTCATCTCCGATTTTTATAGCATTGTTGTGATCTTCCGGGGGAGTGCACATGATTTTAGTTTTATCGATGTCCAGCTTAAGTCCCAAGGCCTCGTATGCCCATGTATATGTGTTCAACATTTCTTGCAATTGCTGTAACGTATTTGCAACTAGAGCACAGTCATCAGCGTATTGAAGTTCTGTGATGAATTTTGTACGTGTTTTGGCCCTGAGTCTTTTTATGTTGAACAGACTGCCGTCGTATCTGTATCTAATGCCCAAACCTCTCTCCTGCAGTTTGCTGTCCACTATAATGGAGAGCACTGTCTTGAATATGTTTAATATGGATCGCTCATCAGTGATCCATGATATGACACTCTTGACTTGTTGTAGTTGGAGGCTTTTACACACTATAAAAAATTTGTTGGGTACTCCGAACTTTTTTAGCTAATACAACAATAATTGTGTGTGGCATATATTTACAAACATCTAAATACAATGTTGTGTTTTTTTTCCTTTTTGTATGTTTTTTTCAGTGTTAGATCAATAAAATTAAACCATTTTTTCTTTTCCAGGCTGCCAGCCCCGCATGCACAGAACTCGAGACCATCGTCATGGACTGGTTCGGTAAAGCCATAGGCCTCCCTTTCGATTTCATCACCTCCAACAAAGGAAGCACAGGAGGAGGCGTCATACAAACCTGCGCCAGCGAGTGCGTCCTCATCAGCATGCTCGCGGCCAGGAACCAAGCCATCCAATACCTGAGGAAAAACAGAAGCTCAGACGTTGAAGACAGCGTTTTTCTACCACAACTAGTAGCATACTGTTCCAAAGAAGCTCATTCTTGCGTCGAAAAAGCCGCCAAAATCCTTTTAGTGCGTTTAAGAATCCTGGATCCTGATGAATCAGGGTCTTTGGGCAAAGAAACGCTGGAAGATGCCATAAGAAAAGATAAAGAGAATGGACTCTTTCCATTTTTCGTTTCTGCAATCTTAGGATCAACTTCAAGCTGTTCTTTTGATAACCTCCAAGTACTTGGACCTATTTGCAAGGCTGAACCTTGCATTTGGTTGCATGTAGACGCTGCATACGCTGGAAACGCTTTTATTTGTCCAGAACTCAAACCATACCTCCAAGGAATCGAATACGCAGACTCGTTCAACACCAATCCAAACAAATGGCTTTTAGTAAACTTCGATTGCTCCTGTCTCTGGGTTAGGTGCAGAGTTAAACTCACCTCAGCCCTAGTAGTAGATCCTCTATACCTCCAACACGCCAACTCAGACGAAGCTATCGATTACAGACACTGGGGAATCCCTCTGAGTCGAAGATTTCGTTCACTGAAGCTCTGGTTTGTGATCAGAAAGTACGGGCTATCTGGATTACAAAAGTACATAAGAAACCACATAAAATTAGCGAAACATTTCGAGAGCTTGGTGAAGAAAGACCAAAGATTCGAGGTGATGAACGATGTGAGATTAGGATTAGTTTGTTTTAGACTTGTTGGTAATGATCACATAAATCAGGACCTTCTGGCAAACGTGAACGCTTCAGGGAAGCTTCATATGATCCCTTCGATGGTTAGGGATAAGTATGTGATCAGATTTTGCGTGAATGCCGAGCATGCGAGTAGGGATGATGTTGAGCATGCTTTTAGGGTGATTTCTGAGTACGCTTCTGAGCTGATAGAGCCTGTGAAGAAAAAGGAGCATGTGAAACCGCCTTTAACGAGGCAGGAGTCGAAGAGATTTTCGTTTACGAGGAGTATCTCGAAAGAGTTGTACAAAAGATCGAAAAGCCGAACGAATTTGTTGGATGGAGCTACTCCAATCCTCGTAGCCGACTCAGACGAAGAAGAGGGTGATGTTCCTCGAGATGATAACGTAGATATAGTGGACTTACTAGCTAGTAGTTTAGACGATAACGTTTTTCTAGATGACTGTAAAAAAAACTTCAAATTCCTCCCGACGAGTCCGACGGAGATTAAATGCAGTGGTTTTTAGTGGTAGGTTTTTAGAAAATTATAGACAAATCAGTATAAATAACATTTTTTTGGTTGTCATTACCAATTCTTTGTACATCCAGTATTACTAGCTTTAAGTCTGAATAGTATTTATTATTTTTTTAATTTATTGTCATATCACTTTTCCTACTCTTCGATTTTTAGTTTTACTTGTTTTATAATAAAGACTTTTTTATATAAAATACGTTTTTTATTTTTAGACCATATAATAGATATAGATACCTTTCTGGCTACTTTACTTTGAAGTCATCATAGATTGTAAATACGACGTCACTAAAGTACAGTAGGCAGAAAATATAAGCAATATATTAAAAGAAACTAAAGGAACATATTAAGTTTAAAATTCTTAGTTTATTTCTGGATTTTATAAAAAGTAATGTTTTTTAACGTTTTTTAATGAAAATAATTTGTTATTATAACGTTAGCTAAAAAACAACAATAACTTAACTTCATTTATATGCCACTATATAAATTACTTCGTAGAGTTAAATACATTATTTATACGATCTAAAATTCCCACGACAAAAACCATATAAATATTTCATTAAAGTATGCTATTATACAATATATCACTGGATTTATATAAATAAAATCTCAGTTTCTGATCTCTAACCTTGAATATACCGTATGATCGAAAATAAACGGCGTCAGCGATGGCTATGAAATGAAGACCGCTCTCATTTTATATGTAAATTTATATGGGAAATGTCATCTATCGTCATTTCCCAGTAGTGATGACGCTTTGGAACAGGATCTGTTATTTTCGAAACAGGTTTGTTTTGGAACTGGTTTGGAACAGGTTTATGTGCTATCCTATACCAGTTCCAGTTCCAACTGTTCCAGCTGTTTCAAAACACTACAACTTAAATTAAATACTTAAAAAAATAAATCCTTGGAATTGTTTAAATTATGTTATCTACTATATTTGTGATACTAGATTCTTAATAGTGTATTTTTCAAAATTAGATAATTATGTATTATATTGCATTTGGCAACATCGCCAGTACGTTTTTTTGATGGTAAGAAATTCTCTTCGCCTATTCTGTTTACATTAAAAAAAACTCGGCGTAAAAAATGTATACATACCGACAAAGGAACCGCTTGTTTTTATTATCTAGGAATGTAAGTTATTTTTAAATATTGATTTCCTATTTAAAATTTATAATAAAAATTTAGCTGAAAAATAATTAAATATATCAAATATCGGCAACGCTGCGAAAACCGTCACCCTTGTTTTTTTTACATCTATGCACTATATTAGTACACTCGCACTCAATCTTGATAATATAACGTCAAGCGACCGCGTCGCTAAAGCGATATACTACCTCGTTTCTCAACTGAAACTAGTTCTTTTTACTTAACTGTTCCAGGTCCCAAACAGTTCTAAGTCCCTAACTGTTCCAAGCGCCAAACTGTTCCAAGTCCTAAACTGTTTCAAGTCCCAATCTGAACAGTGGGACTTGGAATAGTTTGAGACTTGGAACAGTTTGCGACCTGGAACAGTTTAGGGCTTGGAACAGTTTAGCGCTTGGAACAGTTAGAAACTTGGAACTGTTTGAAACAGTTAAGTAAAAAGAACTGGTTTGAGTTGATAATCGAGGTCGTATATCGGTTTCGCTAGTCTAGCCAAGTCTAGCGGACGCGACCGTTCAGGTGTTATCTGTTATCGGGATACAGGGGCGTAAAAAACAAGTGTGGCTGTTGCCGTTATTTAAAATATTTAATTAAAACTCAACTAAATTCCTATTATAAATTTTAAATTTATAATAATTTTTTTAAATATTTTATTTTTTTAATATAAACAGAAACAGAATAGGTAAGGAACATTTTTTATTATAAAAAAAATGCTGGCGATGTTGCCAAATGCATGTTTTTTTTTTTAAATACAGTGTAAGAACAGTCGGTTATTGTTTTGTATTATAAATATAGTAGATATTAAAAAAAAATTAAACTCTTCCAAGAATTTACTTTTTAAGTATATAACAAAATTGTAAATCTATATTTATTCATTAGTGCTTATACAGGGTGGATCTTAAATAAGTGCACATATTTTTAGGGGTTGTATATTTCGATTCTCATGAGTTTTTTCGGGAAAACGTCGTTTTGAAAAGTTTATATTTTTCGAAAATTTGATTTGTTTTTTTAGATTTTTAGTTTTTTTTTAAATTTTTAGTTAAAAAACATTATATCTTGGTAATATAGCAACATAGATAGTAGATTAAATTTAGAGAAAACAGAAAAATCCCCAGTAGTTCTCATTATTTAAGCAAAAAATATTCTTTTATGTAAATTTAAAAAGAAAAATAGCAACTGAATCAGAATGACGCAAGTACGGTATTAATTTTCGTTTTGGAACAGTTTAGAACTGGAACAGGTATCTTTTGCAACTGGAACAGCTTGTACCTGCTATTAAAATATCGCTGTTCCGGCCATGACTATTTCCCAGCCAACTGGACTTTCCAGGAATATTATGTATAGTACCTATATTAACAATTAATATTCCTATATTTCTAATATTTTTTTATATTTATAATATATTTAATTCATATTATATTATCTAATTAGGTTTTTATTTAAAGCGTATCATTTATTTTTAAAATGCCTTTACAGAATTTTAACTAAACAATTAATTTCCTATTCTAAAGACACGCGCGTTTTTGAAATTTCAAATTAACCCGCCAATCGCGCATTCAATTTTCATTGGTTCCTTTCTGCCTAACTTCACGATTGTTTATAAATTCACTTCTGTTCTGTGATTCACTTGCAGGTTATTTTTTTTCTCAAGGCACGTCAAATTTTTACTTTAATTTATTAAAAATCTTAATAATTGTCATGATTTTATTTCAGCACGAGTTATATTTGTTTAATTTGTTTTTTCTGCTCTAAATAATTATACAGTAATATACCAAGTAATATATAAAACAAGGAAATTATAACCTAAGAAGAAATGTCGGGCTTTAAATTTAATTTTTCAAACAGCGAGAGGGGTGATGAAAACAACATGAAAGGTAATTTACAACAAGAAAACAAACATATAACTAAATAAAGACATCTTGTTTTGATGTTTTAGACACTAACGACCTTCCAAAACACTGGCTAGAATGTGCTCAAGTATTCCCAGACAACGAAGACAAAATCTTAGTAAGAGATATGTTTAAAGAATGCGAAATCAACACATTACAAGTAAAGAACATTATTATCAAGCATTTTCTTACAGTAGATGTGTTTAACGTTCTACGTACAAGTGATAGTGATTCAACTAAAGACTTGTCTGTATTATGCGCAGATTGTAACCATTCGGATCTTCAAGCTGCTGTTTATGAAGGCGGCCTTAAAATATGGGAATGTACTTATGATCTAGTAAATTATATAGCGGAAACTGAGTTAGAATTAGAAGAAAAACATGTTCTGGACTTGGGATGTGGAGCTGGTCTAATAGGACTGATCTGTCTGGAAAATGGAGCTTCATGTGTATTTCAGGATTATGTAGGTTTATACCTACGGATTTTACTTAAAATGTGGACTTATTAAGTTGTATTTTAGAATATTGAAGTGCTACAGTATATAACGATACCAAACATAATTCTTAACAATGAAGAATATGTTAAAAAATGTAGATTTTACTCAGGTGATTGGCAGTACTTTTCTGAAACCATTAAAGACCAGAAAAAGTTTGATTATATTTTTACCTCAGAAACGATATATAACACAGAGAATTACAGTAAATTACATGATGTATTTGAAAGGTTATTAAATGAAGATGGTGAAATGTATCCTTATAAAAAATACCTTTGATTTTAAAACAAATTATTTTTTTCTTAATTCTTGTTTAGATATCTTGCAGCAAAATCACACTATTTTGGCGTTGGAGGAGGTATAACTTTATTCAAAGAATACATTTCCAAAAGGAATATATTTCAAGCAACCTCATGTTGGAAGCACTCGGAAGGTGTAACCCGAGAAATTCTTAGATTACAGTTTTTGAAGCATAAAAAAGAGGACCATTAAAAATATATTTTATTAAAATAATATTGTAAGATTGTTTTATTTGTGCATAACTGCTGTATCACATGAACACTGGTTGCTTTCTTGTAGTTCTTTGTTGTTTTTATCAATTTTCACTTTGTCTTGGGGTATTATTAATATAGGAGCGGTAGGATTACTGTGTTCATCTGATTTGATGAATTTCCACTTGATACACGAGTGTTCAGGAGCTTTAAACATACACAATATTAACAAATTTTCGTTAAAATATAAAGAATAATACCTGAAACTCTTGGTAAAATAGGATTAATTGTTCCAAATGTAAAGAATCTAATATTTTCGACTGCTTGGTGATATCTTTCGCACTGACAAGTCTCCATTGTTTCTGAAGAGTAGTTTTTATCACCAGATAATATAATAATCCTATTTCAAATTAAAAAAGGGTGGATTTAATCGTTTTGTACAAGAAAAGTTATTTTTGGCAATTACCGGAAATTTTTGAAATTTTGCTGCCTTCTTCGCCATCTTTAGGGAAATATTGAAAGTACAGTGTGTATTACTAGTTGCCTATATACCTATTCTTTACTATACGAGGGTAATTCAATATGTACGAAAAACTAACACACGAAATATTTGTCGAAATATTTATTTATATAAAAAAAATAAATAATATACAATAAAATACCTAGCCTAAGTGTTTTTTTAAACGTACAATCTATAAGATCTAAATATTCTTAATTGTATTTCTCCATATTTAGAGAATTTTGAGCAATTTTATATCAACAGAGAGCTAATAATGTGGTCCTTGCTCTATATTTCGGTTGGCTGCCGAAAGGTTTCTTGTTTATAGCAAGCCTACCATGACCAAACCCAGCAGCGAAGTGATTCCCATAAACACACCCATGAACATGAAACTGACCATCAAAGCTATTTCATATTTCTCTTTTGGAACAAATCTGTAAAAGTATTAGTGTTAGGAGATTGATTTTTTGGAGAAACTACAACTTAGTAACTTACTTGAACGTTTGTAATATGAGTACGTTCATTAAATATCCGGCAAGCAAATGGTAAGTGCTTAAAATGATACCATACTGCCAATCATGTCCGAAAATTATGGGTAAATGCCTTGGTTCGGCTCTGGTAAACATCATTATGGTCCCATAGAGAATACTTTTCGATATAACTATTACAAACAAGAGTGGTATTGAGAAAAGCTAAAACAAATTAGTATCTCATCAGTTTCAACCATTTCGGTTCGCACTATATTTCGTACTTACCTCGTCATATCTTGTTGATAGTCCTCTACCGACAATATCAGAGCAAGCGGCCAAAAGGAATGTCATCACAGTTATGAAATATTTATCTGAAATCAAGTATATTAATTTAAAATAAAACTATTTTTATTTCTTACTGGGAGTTAAAATATAATATGTTATTACTTGGTTACTAATATAATGATATTAATTTGTTTATTGTTTATGTTACCTCCCCATAAACTGCCCGTGTTGTGGTATTCTGACACTACCAAATTGGTGATAGAAGTAACTGGTATGACGGTGTTGAAGAAATTTAACAGAATAATAGGCCAAATCAGTTTGATGGTGTCCATGATTTGACTGACAGAGTGGACTTTCTTTCTGGCATCTTCCTTGTAAGAGGTCATGTAAAATCTGAAATAACAATTAAATCATATAGACAGGGTATCCCGCATAAATAACTGCAGTGTTTTAGTTGCTAATACAAGTTTACAGGGTGTCCCAGACTGAGCTTGCATTAAAAATTATGCATTGCATTTAAATTACTAGATCTATCGATTAAAAATAATTTTAATATGGTGTACTTCATCATCTTTCATATTTTAAATGCATGGTGTATGCATATTATTAAAAAAGAAATTGTAGAAAAAAAAAACTACAAAAGAATGATTGATATTAATAATACTAATGTATCTTCTTCTTCTTCTTCTTTTAGAAGGCGTATCGCCTGTTTAGTTCCGATTTCCTCCTCGTCTAAGCAACTCTTGCGAGGTTGACTGCCAACTGTCTTGCCAACGTTTAGGTGGTCGTCCAGTAGGTCTTCTGCCATGGGGTACGTTGTTGCGAATTACTATGGCCATTCTGTCAGGGCCCATTCCATTGACATGCTGGTTCCATTCTCTTCTTCTCTGCCTTATCCATCTGACAACGTCGTTTGTTTGGCACTTTTCTCTTATGTCTACATTTCTCTGTCTGTCCCTCAATGTGTATCCAGTTATCATTCTTAAGGTCTTCATTTCAGTAGTTCGTAGGATTCTCTTTGTTACTGATGTTTCAGCTCTGGTTTCCGCACCATATGTCATCACTGGTCGTATGCAGGTTTTGTATATTCTTGACTTGATGTTTGTTTTTCCATATGGGATATTTAAGATGTCCTGATATTGCGGCAGCTTTATTGGCTTGTTTCCTTACTTCTTCTTCCAGGAATCCTGAGCTTGTAATTTTGCATCCGAGGTACTCGAATGACATTATCTGATCAATAGTTTTGTTTTTTATTACCAATTTGCACCGTAGAGGCTCCTTTGAAATGGTCATGCATTTGGTCTTATTTGTGGAAATTTGCATGTTAAATTTTTCTGCCCGTCTGTTAAAAGCTTGTAGCATTCTTTGGAGGTCGTCCTCTGACTCTGCAATAAGTACTGCGTCATCGGCATAGCATAATATGTTTACTTTATGCATCCCCATTTGATATCCTAATCCAGTATTCTTGACGGTTTTTATTACTTGATCCATGATTGTGTTGAATAACAGAGGGCTGAGACTGTCGCCTTGGCAAATACAAGTTGTAGTTCGAAGATGCTGCGTTAAGGTAAAATTTGTTCTTATTTGGGTTGTTGTGTTTGTGTTTAAGTCCTTGATAAGTTCTGTGAGTTCTTTCGAGACATTACTGCTTTCCAAGATGGTGATGATGTCTTTTAGTTGGACTCTATCAAAGGCCTTTGTTAAATCTATAAAATATAGATAGGCTGGAGAGTTATATTCTAAGGATTTTTCAACTAGTTGCCTGAGTATGAATAGTGCATCGGTAGTTGATCGGTTTCTTCGGAATCCTTGTTGTTCCTCGCTTATTGGCACTATTGAGGAGATTTTGTCCACAATGATCTTAGTCAGAAGTTTTAGGGAGGTGCTCAGTAATGTTATTCCTCTATAGTTTGCTGGGTCTGTTTTATCTCCCTTTTTAAAAATGGGTATTGTTATTCTTTGTTTCCATTCTTCTGGTATTTTCTTATGTTGTAATATAATATGTATGTAATTAATATTAGATAAAAATATTGAGGCAAAGTTAAAATGCCAGTAAAAAATGCCAGAGTATCTTTACACTCTGCGTCTATAGTAAAACCAGGCTTACTTGAAAAACGGCGTTTTGGTAGCGAAAAAGAACATTATCAAGGCGGTTCCCATCAACACACAGCCTGAAGAAAAGTATAGCAGAGCTTCTGGTATGGTTTCCGTCATAATTGTGATAGTTACGAGCCTTAAAAGTGCCGAGACCAGTCCACCAATGCCTTGTCCGAAAAGGAACATCTTCATGTAGCGATCTGGGAACTTGGACATGATTGTCACCGATCCGGTTCCAGCAATGGCCATCAGTACTGTAAGCAAAAATAATGATATTTATCTGTAGGTCTTTAAGCTTTCGGTATTATATGTTACCTGCTATAAGAACTTGAATCACCATGGTCACTGCAAAGAATCCCATTTGCCCTAGAAGGATAAATTGAAAAAAAGGTAAGTTTTTATTGATATTACTCATTTTTAAATAAATATCAGTCATCAGGACTTTGAAAAAGCCAGTATCTGAGACGGTTTTACAGAAATTAGTTCTCCATCTCCAATATCAGTCGTAGCAAAGTTCATGGTATGAATTGTCTACCACTTAAAAACAAAAATTCAAAAATAATATCCATATACTTACAGGAATCTGTGTCCACCTTAGCTAGAACAGTTTGGACAACAAAATTAAGGGAGAAAAATATGAGAGATATGTATGCCCTAGTGGTGAGTCTGATTTTGTGAGCCAAAAAAGTCGAGAAGAAATTACAGATGATGCCGGTAGATGTTGAAGCTATCAAGTTGAATGAGGCATAGTTGGCTTGGATGTAGTTCCGGCTTTCTGCGTTGGTATCGTTAGAATCAACGGTCCTGAATTTGTACATCCAGTACTAAAAAAAAAGAAAAAAATCACTATATACTGCTTTATTTTTTCTATTACCTGCTTCTACAAATCAGGAGAAAGAAGCATTCAAAGATTTTTGGCTGGATCAACATATATTCTATGAGAATATTTGTTGATCCAACCAATATTTTCGTCTCTTCCAGTTTTTTTTATTTCTCAGTACTACATTGTGGCGTCTTTTAAAGGTGTACGTTCATGGTATGCCATTCATTGAGAGTGGAATTTTCCAAGAGCGTTTCCCAACAAGCAAAATTTATTGCTGGAACATTGCCAAAACTTCGCAAAGCGAGATGTAACATTGCTTTTTTCATTGTAGCGAGGTTTATGCAAGGTGGCAGAGTAGCTTAATCTTCCGCCAAATTACATTGCAGTGCAAGGTTGAAAAACACAATATTATTGAACAGAGAACTGCAAATCTAGAATCGCAACACGTGCTCCATCGATTCAAGAAATTAAGCAAGCATTATCACAGCTTAAAACTGGCAAAGCGGCAGGTCCTGATAATATACCCGCTGAACTATTTAAGATACACCCAGGAAACATTGCACAGCTACTAGAGACAATAATAAAAAGCAGTTGGGAAACAGAACATATCCCGTCAACGTGGAAAGAAGGACTTATTGTAAAACTCCCTAAGAAGGGCGACTTATCCCAGTGTAAGAACTGGCGAGGCATTACCTTACTTAACACCATTAACAAGATAATTGCTACAGTCATCCAAAAAAGAATTTCAGATGCCCTTGAACCGACTTTGAGAAAAGAACAAGCAGGCTTTAGGCCTCAAAGATCATGTATCGACCAAATTAATACTCTCAGAATAATAATAGAGCAATCTCAAGAGTTCAGATCGCCATTATACATGGTGTTCGTGGATTTTCAAAGAGCATTCGATCCTATAAAACACATAGCCATCTGGAAAGCTTTGAGAGAAAAAGGAATACCCGAAAAAATAATCCGCATGATTAAAATGCTTTATCATGATGCTGCAAGCTGTGTATTACATAAAGGTCAAGTGGGGGAGAAAATTTCTATTGCAGTAGGTGTAAAACAGGGCTGTATACTTTCGCCGCTACACTTTAACATCGTTCTGGATGTAGCACTAAATAGAGCATTTAAAGAACCACTAGGGATACAATGGGGACTGTTAAGCAGGCTAGAAGACCTGGATTACGCAGACGATCTATGCATCTTTTCCCATTCACATTCGGATATGTCTCAAAAACTTCTTAGACTCCAAGAGGAAGCTAATAATGTCGGTCTTCAAATCAACGTGGCGAAAACCAAACAAATGAGGTCAAATACTCCCAACAACCAAGATCTATACCTCTCCAACCGAGCCATCGAAAGAGTTGATAAATTTCAGTACCTGGGAAGTATGGTTCACAGCGATGGGGGCACAGAGAAAGATATAGAGGAAAGGATTTTGAAGGCACAAAGAGCTTTTGGTATGCTTACACCTGTATGGAACTCCTCTATATATAGCAAAAAAAACTAAAGTCCAGCTCTTCAATAACAATGTCAAATCTGTTTTGCTTTATGGATGCGAAACATGGAAGGTTACGCGTGGTCTCATGGATCGCCTACAGGTGTTTGTTAACAAGTGTCTTCGTAGAATATTGAGAATTTTCTGGCCCAATCAAATTAACAACGAAGAACTGTGGAGAAGAACATCACAAAATCGAATAGATATCGAAATTAAGAAAAGGAAGTGGGGCTGGATTGGGCACATTTTGCGCAGACCCCACAGAGATATCGCTAGACAGGCACTTGAATGGAATCCACAGGGAAGACGTGCCAGGGGAAGACCAAGGAATACCTGGAGAAGAACAGTAACCTCTGAAGCCCAAGAGGTCGGGAAAAACATGGGGAGAGATCAAACAGACAGCTCAGAATAGGATCAGGTGGAAACATCTCTTAGAAGCCCTATGTCCCACGAAGGGATGACGGTATATATATATATATATATATATATATATATATATATATATATATATATATATATATATATATATATATATATATATATATATATATATATATATATATATATATATATATATTGAAACGTTGCTAATATGTAACGTTCAGGAAAGTACTAATTTGAGATGTATTAGTAATATTGTTAATTTTACGTCAATACAATAATGGTAAAATTATATTGTACCCAAGTACCTATGTTTCAAAACTTAGTATCCATTAAACTTTCTATTTTGTACTACTTACTGACTTACTGCTAAAATAATATAGCAATTCATTTCATAGCCAACGCTGACGCCGTTTTTTCTCGATCATACGGTATTATTAACTATTATTAACTTCGCGGATCTTTCATTTGAATTTTTGTTGCAATGTTGCAGAAAAAACGTTTTAATCACCATTCAAAAACAATGTTTTTGTAGCAAGGTTTCATCGATCACGACACAAAGTTAGAAATCAACATTATAAAGCAAACGGTTTGGGGATCGACTGCAATGTTGCAAATGTAATGTGAGGTTTTTTGCTTGGTGGGTTCATGCCCCTGAGCTGACAAATCTCCCAGTACAGTTTCCTTGGAAGACCATTCTAATCATTTTTGGGTATACTTTCATCTTCAAGATTCAAGACGAGAACTTTTGAAACATCCCTCGTAGATTATCGCCATATGCATTATCATCCTATTTTCTGAATACAGATAACAAAATTTAACCAGTCATTTCATCAAAATAGAAATAAACAGATTTAAATAGACGATTATATGCAGCTTTGATTGAAATTGAGTTTTACCGAATTCAAAGATACTTAACTCGGATTGTATTTAATACAACCGTCAAAGATAAGGAGAGATAATAAAAATACCTGAAATAGTTTGGTAAGAAACTGTTTTTCAAATTCAAATTTAATAATAATAAAGATTTCGAACTGATTTTTATTTTTCTTAGATGTTTCTCATTTCTCACGGACTAAAAATAGTTTTTAATTATTTTTTGACAACTAAGGCATCAAAAATATTCATTAAACTGTCAGCTCAGAAGCTTGAAACCTCAGAGTAACTGAACAGTTCACTGAAAACATTACAATAATTAATAAAACCAGTGCTTCCTCCATAATCAAAACACTTCACTAAAAACCAATCTCTATTCGCTGTATTCTATTCTTTAATCCGTCTTACCTGACCGTTTTAACTGACCGGCAAGACGTAAGGTAAACCGTTACGTGTGGGGGGGACTTTACCTCATTGGCTGTGACGAAAAACACCATAGGCAGCACGCTGATGGTACGAAATATGGTGAAAGTAACGAAAACAAAATTGAATCTGTCCTTGGGCGCGTTGGGATCGTCTAATCTGATTTTGGGCAAGCCAGGGATGTCGTCCATCGGGATACGAGATCCCCTTCTACTGGGTGGCAAAGCTACAAATAAAAGGTAAAGTAAGAAGTAATTTTGGCTATGCATTATATAATATTTTTTTTGTATTCGTGTGTCTTAAAGTACAATATATTAATATACTTTTTATGAAACTATAATAAATCAATATAATGGAATTTAAGTCGTTTTCATGAGTTAAGTCTACATTTTATAAATTTGGCGTACCTCCAGCAACACTGGGTGGAGGAAATGGCGGGAAGTCTTCATAGTTGAGGGAATACTTTGGTTTTTCTTCATCATCTAGGATAAAAGAACAAAAAAATGTATTAAAAACCAATATTACGATATGTACTATACTAGGTATTTCTACAGATAAAAAAAACGTGATTTATGTCAGTATATGACATAAATTAGGATTGATTGGCGTATTCAATTGTTTTCGGTCACTTCCTGTTTCACCGGAAATGACTACAACTTTATATTTTTTAAAAAAATTCAAAATATGTAAAAAAACAAATAAATTATGCTTGTCCAAGCGTTTTCCCGAAAAACTAACCGTTTTTTAAATAACAAATATTGTAATATTTGAGGGGCGTTTTCACCCTCTTGGAATTTGAGATTCGAGAAACCCCTCCTTATCGAACCTCTACACCCCATAGTCAATCCGTTTGCAAAAAATCAACTTTAAACATCAAGCAGTTTAAGCAGAACCGTGATTACTCAATGGTCATATTTTATGAAACTTTTTTAAAAAAATTTATAAAAAATCTTAAAATATGTAAAACAACAAAATAAAATATACGTGTTTAAGAGTTTTTCCGAAAAACTCACCGGTTTTGAAATAAAAAATATTTTAATATTTGAGGGATAATTTCACCCCCTTAGAATTCGAGCCCCTCCACACCCTAAAGTCAATCTGTTTTCCAAAAATCAGCTTTTTACGTCAAGCGCTTTAAGCAGGATCGTGATTAATCAATGACCAGATTTTTCGAAACACCCTGTATACATTTTTAAAAAAATCTTAAAGTAGGTAAAAAAACAAAATAAAATATACGTGTTTAAGCGTTTTTCGGAAATTTGACCGTTTTTTAAATAAAAAATATTGTAATATTTGAGGGGTGGTTTCACCCTCTTGGAACTGGAATTTCGATAAATCCCTTCTTATCGAACCTCTACACCCTAGAATCAACCTGTATACCAAAATTGAGCTTCTTACGTTGAGTGGTTTGAGCAGGATCGTGATTAATCAGTATGTCAGTCACTTAAGGATTTTATACAGTACGTCTGTCCGTTCTGAGGCTACGGGGTATCCGTGAGAGGGGAAACGATATTCTCTCGATGTTTTTCGTAAAAAAATAGACAACGCGTTCCATCAATAAAAATTCTACAATTTTGCAAGTAGCCAATAAAATGAGTGGGCGGAGCGATTTGCGGTGACGTCTCGTCAAGTCGACGTATAAAATATATTGCTGTTTATTTAAATGTTTTTTGTCCGGATTCCTTTCATAGACACAGATTCAGCAGATGTACTGTATATTAGTATAGATTTATTAAACATTATTTAAAATATTTTAACAAAATACACGCATCTGTATGATCATTAAGTGCAAGCAGATTTTACCAGTTTCTGTAGTATCATTATAGCACAGCGATTATTATGTTATCTGTGATTACAGTAGATTATTACGTTTGGTAATTTCAGGTCTATTTTTACTGGAATAATTTCAATTTAATCTGTTGTAAGTGTATCGAGTGCCACTTCAAATTCCACAGATTAAAAGAACAATTAACTCGTTTTTATCTGGTTAGAATATGCCCATCTGTTATTTTCTCACGTTAAAGTAATAATATTAATTGATTTATGTGTTTCCTAACATCTGTCAAGTACTTAAATAATGTTTTTTATAATGAAGATAAACTTTAGCTACTGATGTACCTATGTTAACAAATGATTCTGAGAATTAGATCAACTATTTTGAAGTTCTTTTTTGTGACTTTTAATTTAATTAAAATTTCGAAAATTCTGTCGTTTTGAGCAGAGAGAAACTAATAATTAAAGTGAGAAAGCTTGTGGAATAGGGCATTTCGTAGACAAGTTTATTTTGTCACCGCGCATCCCAGACGCGCATAGCGTTTAGGCGGTCAAAAAAGGAAGTTTCCAACTTTGCAAGTTAAACAATTGACAGGATTAATTAGATTGTCAGTAGCTTTTTCTACATCTTAGTTCTAGAAGGAGATATCTAAAATCTGTTGTTTTTGACTGAATGTGCCTGTTCTTTTAGCTTGTCAGAAGAGAAGATTATTGTCATTATTGATTATTTCAGATTCCACGATTATTCGGCATTTTTGTAATTTTTGTTTTGTGGTTGAGACCCAGACAAAACGTTTCCTTTAAAGGTAAGTTTTATCTCGGTAATTATTTTAACATACCTAATAGTAATAGTGAGTGCACAAATAATCGTACATTGCTAATTTAATTTTTTTAATTTAAAACATCACATTCTTTTCTGATACCTATGGAACGACTAGGTATTATACCTAGTATTATTTCCAGTAATACAAATTATTTTCTTCAACTGCTAGGTTCTTGTTATAGAATAAAGACTATCAAAAACATTGAATATCTACGGGATACCTACTGATACTCTGTGCGAGCTCCCAACCGTGCTTCCCTGTTCACTCCCAACCAAGTTAGATAAAAAAGATACTGAAGATTGCAGCCTTGAGTTGGAGTATGGCAAGGAGTATGGAGTTAAATAAATTATGTTCCTACACAGTATTTTATTTATAGGTTTTAATGCTTTAAAGTCTAATAATAAATTTTCGTTGTCAACAAAATAATCTAAAAAAACTACGAAGATTTCTTATTATAAACTTGAAAGATTAAGATTCGGTTCAAATATACAAATTTTAATTTTTTGGCGCCAGTATATACAGTGTGGCCCACTCAAGACCGGGCACCCTCCATAAAATCTGTGTTTATAGTCCGATTTTGATGATTTTTTTTCAAATATAAAGTTTCAAAAAATGTACTTTAGGGCTCAATGTCATGTTATTTCACAAAAAACAAGGCCTACTTAATAAAGTTTTTGTGGTGAAAAATTTGCAAAATCATATTAGCGATTTTTTTTCAAAAAATTTGAGTACACCCCTACATTCGGCATCCCCCAAAACAGTTCTGTACCAAATTTCGTTTAAAAATATTAATTATTAATAATTCTGCAGTTAAATTAAATAATTCCCTATTTTTGCCAATTTAACGATGAGTTATAACGTAACCCTTGAAAAAAACAATCCACAACAATGGGTTTTATTAGCTGTCAATTCTTGCAGCGTAGAATTGAATATTAATTTAATAGCACGCAGAAAAGTGTTGTATCAAGAAATATTATTTGCATTATGGAACAATTAAATATTAGGGATAAAATTGAAATGATTCGTTTAGTGGGTGATAACTATCTTCAAGCAGGAGAAGCTGCCAGAGAATTTAACAACAGACATCCCGACAGACCTGCAGTAAGTAGAAGCACGGTTCAACGAATAAATAGAGTTTTTAATGAAACTGGTTGTGTGTCAAAATACTTACTAAAAAACAGAAGGCCGGAACATTGAATAAATAGGCGGAATGAGGAAATATTAGAATATTTTCGTAACAATCCTCGTGCAAGCATTAGAGGCGCCAGTGTTGATTTGGATATACCAAGGGAAAATATTAGGAGATGTTTGCGAACTAATAAAGTTAAACCCTTTAAACCAAAGATTTTACACACTTTGGAAAACGGAGATGATGTTAGACGATTAGAATTCTGCTTATGGGCTCAAGCAGAGTATTTAAATAATAGAAATTTCTTAAAAGAAATTTTATTTAGTGATGAGGCAACATTTAGTACAAACGGAGTAGTATCCTCTCAAAATTCGCGATTCTGGGCAGTCGAAAACCCTGAATGGGTGATCAATACAAGAAGACAGTATTCTCAGAAATTAAATGTGTGGTGTGGCATACTTGATGATAGAATCATTGGTCCATATTTTTTTGAGAGAAATTTGAATAGTCCAACGTTTTTGAATTTTCTGATTAATGACTTTTGGGATGCAATACATAATTTACCATGCCAAACCCGTTTGAATTTAAAATTTCAATTGGACGGATCACCTGTGCATAACGCGGCAGTTGTCAGGGAATGGTTAAATGAAAATTTTGAAAATAAGTGGATAGGTCGAAATAGCCCGCTAATTGAGTGGCCACCGAGATTCCCGGACCTAACACCCCTTGATTTCTGTCTTTGGGGTTTCTTAAAGCAACAAGTTTACAAGTTTAGACCTCAATCTGTAGATGAATTACGTATTAGAATTACAGAGGCTTCTGCAAATATTACACCACAGCAGCTTAGGAATGTAACTGTTAATCTAAGAAAAAGATGCGACAAATGTATTCAACTGAATGGAGGGCTGGTAGAAGCAACTAGAATTATTTGAATATGTTTAACTTATTATTCGGTTATTGTGTTGCTTGTAGTATTTTTATCATTGTTTGTAATAAAAAACTCGTTGTCGTGGATTGTTTTTTCAAAGGGTTACTTGATAACTCATCGTTAAATTGGCAAAAATAGGGAATTATTTAATTTAACTGCAGAATTATTAATAATTAATATTTTTAAACGAAATTTGGTACAGAACTGTTTTTGGGGATGCCGAATGTAGGGGTGTACTCAAATTTTTTGAAAAAAAATCGCTAATATGATTTTGCAAATTTTTCACCACAAAAACTTTATTAAGTAGGCCTTGTTTTTTGTGAAATAACATGACATTGAGCCCTAAAGTACATTTTTTGAATCTTTATATTTGAAAAAAAAATCATCAAAATCGGACTATAAACACAGATTTTATGGAGGGTGCCCGGTCTTGAGTGGGCCACACTGTAGGTATATATGAATGCAACCTACTATATCGATAATGCGCTCATAGTTCGGGTTAGACGCCAAAGGCCGCGCCACTAACACAGTCCTCAAAAATTAACGTTGATCGGTCTCTCTCACTTTAGTTATTAGTGTTCTCTCCGGTTTTGAGCCATTTGTACATTTTTTTGAATTATGTGTATACAGTACGTCTGCTGGATCTGTATCTATGAAAGGAATGCGGACAAAAAACATTTAAATAAACAACAATATATTTTATAGGTCGACTTGACGAGTACGTCACCGCAAATCGCTCCGCCCACTCATTTTATTGGCTACTTGCAAATTTGTCGAATTTTTATTGATGGGACGTGTCGTTTAATTTTTTACGAAAAACATGGAGAGATTATCGTTTCCCCTCTCACGGATACCCCGTAGCTACAGAACGGGCAGACGTACTGTATACTTTAGGTTTGCACTTAGGCCGACGCACTATTGCCGACAGGGTTGGCATGATTTAAATCAAATGATTTAAATCATGATTTAAATCGTGATTTAAATCAAGTGATTTTTTAAATTTTAATCATTAATTTAAATCAAAACAAAATAATTTTATTAAAACTTTATTATAAATCAAAAAATAGCTGTAAAAGTTATAAAAATGTGTCCTAGAAAACTATAAAAAATATTTCTATAAAAGATATAACAGATAATAAATCGAAAAGTAATTGCATGTAAATTGTAAATGTTATAAAACTATATAAAAATATCTATTCATTAATTTAAATGTTGGACCGATTTTTGAAGTAATTTCGTGTGAATCCATTAGACCGCTAAACGCGGGGATTTATTTTAATTAATTTATGTATAAGTGACAAAAATTCGCTGTTCGAATACATATCATTCGCAGTCCAGTGCAGAACTAGGTTCTTCTGATATAGAGACTATATCTTCATTCCCAAAAATCTATAATAATCGTTGTCAGGAAATATGTTGTTTTATTTTTTTTTGAAATGGTTGTATTTTTCCAAATTCTTACCGACATTTTGATCTTCAGTAAGTATTTTACACTTTGACATTAGATAATACTAATTTCATTCTCGACTTAAGACTATTTTCGAACAATAGTGTATTGTTTTATTAGGAGTAAAAATTATACTTTTTTTGATGAATTATACTCCTTTGAAGGACCATCGTAAAGCTATTCCGACTTTACAAGGAAGCACAAAAAGTACATTTTTACTCCTAATAGAACTTGCATACTATTTTTTTTAAAACATTACAAATCATTTTTAATCAATTTCAAATATTGCAAATAATATAAACAGTAATCAAGCAACAATTTGTACACTCGTTGAATTTGACACTTAATATCAGTTTAATAATATATTTTTGTACTTTTGTGCTTAGGCGTAACAGTGCTTTACTTTTATACCTAGGCGTTAAAATGATAAAAATTAATACTTTTGAGACGTTTGAAAAAAAATCCTTTTGATCTGAAGCGAGCGACTTTTTTGCGAAATATATTGGTGACCGATGTGGAAAAATGACAAACGCACCCTAGAATTATTAATGTTATCGATAACGGACAGAGTTATAAAGATTTAGCCATTTAGGATAGGGCTTTAATTGGAAATAAGTCCTAGTCATTTGGAAATCCGATTTAAATATTGTTATGAATTAAAATCGTGAACTTATAAAAAAATGAACTTATCGTGGAGCAGAATTTGGATCGGACCATCATTTGGTGGTATCAGAAACAGTAGTAGAGTACAGAAAGATGTACACTGTAGTAGATAGAACTATACAGGACAGATACGTACAAGTAGAAACAAAAAAATACAATTTAGAAAGTTTTATGCAAGAGTCGACACGATTTCTGTACAAACTAAGACTAGCCAATAAACTAGCATATATAAGAAGGGACAACGTAAACGCTGAAACGTTGTATGAACAAACAAAACAATGCATTCACGAAGCAGCTGAAGAAGCGATAGGGCAACAAGAAAAGCAAACGACGGAAAAACCAGAATGGTGGTCTGAAAACTTAAAAAAACTTATAGAAGAAAAAAAGCGATCCTACCAAAAATGGCTTAGTACCCACAGCGACCACGACAGAGAAGAATATGCAAGATTAAATAGAATGGTTAAACGCGAAGTAGCTAAAAACAAAAACAAAATGTGGGAAACCAAATGTGAGAGAGTGGAAAGATATATGGGAGGTACAAGAGTGTCAGAAGCGTGGAAGACAATAAGGAACCTTAGAAGAGACGAAAAGCAAAACAGTAAACTAGAACTTATAAGCATGGAAAAGTGGGAAGTCCATTCCAAACAGTTACTGTCAGAAAACAGGATAGAATTCAAACTAGAAGTGCCAGATTTGAAAAACGCAAAAGATATAGATGTAAATGAAATAAGTGTAAACGAGATAAAGAAAGCATTGAAGAACTCAAAAAATGGAAAAGCTGCGGGGCCGGGAAACATTTTCATTGAGCTAATAAAGCAGGGACCCGATATATTATTGGAAATACTAGCTGATATCTTCAACAGATGCCTGATAAAAATACGAAAACATTCCTGAAGCTGGAACCTGGCGTACGTCAGCTCTATCTTTAAGAAGGGAGACAAAAAAAGATGTAGCAACTACAGAGGCATTAGTTTGACAAGCTCAATGGGAAGGTTGTATGGCAGGATATTAAAAGAGAGAGTAGAAGAGAGCTTTGAAGAAATAGAAAAACAAGGTGGTTTCCGCGCTGGGCGTTCTTGTACAGACAGCATATTTGTGTTACAACAAATAATTGAAAAAAGGAGACCTCGAAATTTGGACAGGCATCTGGTATTTATAGATTTAGAGAAAGCCTATGACACGGTGCCTTTGAAGAAATTATTTGAAATCTTGGTTGAAGCAAATGTGAGTAAAACATATATCAATGCAATCTGGAATATGTACAAAAATCCAAAAAGTATGATTAGACAGGGGAAGTTCCTATCGGAATCCTTCCTGACATCTAAAGGACTTAGACAGGGGTGCAGTTTATCACCTACCTTATTTAAAATATATATCCAGGAGGCATTGAAAAACTGGAGAAGGAAGAGTAGAGCTATGGGAATAGAGATTGACAACCACTGTCTATCGACCTTGTTCTTTGCAGACGACCAAGTTATTGTTGCAGGTTGTGAGGAGGATGCCGACTATATGTTGAGGAAACTTGATGAAGAATACGACAGATGGGGACTCAATATCAACCTCACAAAAACCGAATACCTGAAAGTAGGAGAAGAACAAACTGAAGATCCTAAACTACACATACATGAAATTAAAAGATGTAGCGAATATAAATATTTAGGAAGTATTATATCTGAAGAAGAGAACTCCAAGAAAGATATACATAGTAGAGTTCAACAAGGTAAGAAAGTAATCGGTCTTTTAAACCCTCTCCTGTGGTCAAATAAAACATCCATCCAAACAAAGATAAGGATTTACAAAGCAATCGTAGATCCAATTTTAACATACGGTGCCGAATGCTGGTAATTTACAGCAAAAGAAAGAAGGATGGTCGAGTCAGTGGAGATGGACTTTCTCAGAAGAGTATGTCGCATATCAAGGATGGCACACATTAGAAATGAGGAGATCAGGCAAAGAACAAGGCGAATATATACCAGCACCGACAACATCGAATCGAGACAGCTACTATGGTATGGGCACGTAAAAAGAATGGAAGGGAAAGATGGCCAAAAAGGGCAATGGAGTATCGTCCCCAAAGCAGAAGGAAAAGAGGAAGACCTACAACTACGTGGCTAGATGGAGTAGACCAGTATATGAGAGACCAGTATATGAGCTATTAACCAGGAAGAATGGCAAAATCGAGCAATATGGAGGTCGAAATGCGGGATGCGGCAGAAGCTGTAAGACCCCACTTTATATATATATATATATATATATATATATATATATATATATATATATATATATATATATATATATATATATATATATATATATATATGAATTAAAATCAAAAAAATCTGATTTAAATCAAATAAATCTGCTTTTTTTTATTTTTTTTTAAAAATCATGATTTTTTCCAACCCTGATTGTTGGCCCTGTATGCTGTATATGCCAATAACAAATGTTTGCCAAACATGAGTAGATTGAATACTAGAAATAGTGTCCTTCAAAAATTATGTGGTAAAATACTACATAAGGCTGTTCGGTGGGGATAGAATTAAAGTCTGAGAAAAATGAATAACCTTCATATTTGTTTATAATTATTATTAATACCTATATCAGATGTATTTATTCATAAGTAGGGGCTTTATAATATATACTACATCATACGATTCTTAAACAAATAAACTTTTTCTTAGCTTATTACTCCCGAATTTATTTGCTGAAAGCAAATTAAAATAACGTTTAAGTTTATTTTTCATGCGTTGGGATTATTTTTATTTAACCGAAAATAACTTTTATTTACAAAAAAATTAAAATATCTACACTCACCTCTTGTATTAAGTGAAAATCTCATCTTTACACTATAATTCGTAGAACTTAATTTAACTAAATTCGAAAATTATATCCAAAAAATGTTCAAAGTCAAAGTAGGTAATACCGACTCAAAAATTATGCGATGCGATTGGGAATTTTATATAGAAAATCGGATTTAAAGAATTTTATCTATAAATAAAGGGGGATGAGGTAGCACTACGTAGAACAATTAGATAATACAATCGCCGCATTGTTTATTACTGTATAAATTTGTTGTTTAAAGAGGCGCCTTTACTGTCGAGGCGTTTTAGAAATATTTCGAACAGGAATTTCGAGTTTGTGATTCTTCAGGTGATTACGAGGGTAGCCTGAAAAAAAATATCCGAGAAATTACAAATACAGGGTTTAGAGATTTATTTTTCATATCAACATAGGTCCGATTCTGCGTTGATTCGTAGCTGCAGGGTGTTAAACTCTTAATATTTTTTCGATTTATCATAATTTCCTTTCAAGTGCTTTTAGCGTTTTGAATGAAATTTTGCGGGTAAAATTTACTATAAATGCGATATATTTTAAAGTTATAAAAGTGTCGACATATACCCAGGGACCTGCATATAGGTTATCACTGGAATATTTTTCAAAAAAAAGGCATGTACGGCACTGACTTTTCTTTCTCTTGTTAGCGAAATAGTGTAAGCAGTTTAATGCCGATTAAAAGTTGTCTTTTGATATTTTGTAGATTTCGGCCTCCTTGATGAGATAAACGCAATTTTATTAATCTGCCTTGATCTAAAAGTCTAATAGGAAACCTTTAAAAAAGTTTAATATCATTAACTGGCGAAAATTTTAAATAAGTACTTACTGATTCCTCAGTTAAAATGTCTGTAGGTTGGACTAATAATAGTAATAATATTTAATAATAAATTAGGTAAAATATATATAATTTATTAATTTTATTTCAATTTAAATTTTATTAATTATATTGTGATTAATAAAATTATGTTTATCTCATCAAGGAAGACAAATTCGACAAAATATCAATAACTTTTAATTAACATTAAACAGCATACACAATTTTAATACAAAAGAAAGAAAGTCAGTGGCGCAGATGCTTTTATTGAAAAATATTTCAGTGATAACCCATATGCACGTCCCTGAATAATTTATCGACACTTTTTTAGCATTAAAATATGTAGCACTTACAGTAACTTTTACCCTCAAAATTTCATTTGAATCGCTATAAAAGTACTTGGAAGAAAACTATAATAAATCAGAAGATTATTAAGACTTTTACACCCTGTAGCTACGAGTAAAGAGCTACAAATAAATCCTATTTTTACGCTTTTTTTTTTGAAACACCCTGTATAAATGCAGGCTTATTTGACTAATATATTTATTTTCTAGATTAGGGCTCAAACAGACTGACGACCAGGTCGCGCCGGCCAGGCCGCACCTACCTCCGCAAAACACATACACAAGAAGAAGTGCGAGCGCCTTGCTAAATATTGGAAAGTGAAATTGACGTTTAAATTTGGCACTGTTGACAAGTCTACTGCTACTAGCGCCGCCAATTTCGCTTGTAGGAACTACGGACTAAATTGTCACGCATGGCGGGAAGTTTAAAAAAATAAAAAAAATTATTTCTTCATTTATTTTTAATTATGACATACACAAAAACACAAAAAATACACCATTTTTTAAAAATATGTTTAATACCGTATGATCGAATAAAAACGGCGTCCAGTTGGCTTGGAAATGACGATCGATGGCATTTCCTATATAAATTTACATATAAAATGACAGCGATCTTCATTTCACAGCCATCGCTGACGCCGTTTTTATTCGATCATACGGTATCAATATCAAATATACAACAGAAATTAATTTCACCACAATAAATTAATAAAATTAAAAGAATAATGTTACAAGTAGATCAAGAGACAAAATTAATTACAACAAAACTGAAAAAAAATGGCGTCATAGATGGCTTAGAAATAAAAGATATACAACAATACTTTGCTGTAACTTTCACAAATATCAGAGAGAGTACATACAGGTATTGCCTCTCTTTTCCTCGGGTATGCTTTATATCTGTTGTTCTTTGTTTATCTATATTTCTCAGAGCATAATGCCGAACACTACTACAGTATATAATAATTTCAATATCCGAAGTGGAAAGAAAAAAGATCACCTTTCTGTTTTGTACTATGGTCCCTTTCTTCCGATGGCTCATCTCGTTGATATTTAGGAAGGATAAATAGGAAGGAAAATATAAAATTCAATTTGATTTGATGATCCTTTTCTGTCACCTAAAATCAGGAGAACGACAATGAGCATGTTAAGATGAAAAAAATTATCAACACTTACCTACACGTTAGTCCGAGGAGTTTATTAAAAAGCTATATATTTGCCTAAATAATTTATGTATTAAATTTGCAAAGCAAAATGCAGCGTGTAAACAAAAGAAATAAAATGGCGACAAGTCAACGTCAACGACCCGACAACGAGAGAAAAGTGGTGTTCGAATAACAAATTATGGGTCACCAAAAATTGTTTTGTCTCCTTTCAACGCACACTTTAGAAAAAAAAAGAGATGAACTGGAATACTGAAAGAACGTCAAGGCTTTATCTGTCACTCTTGTCAATAATTTATCGGTAAGGAAGATTCCTAGAAAATCGCTTGTAGTCAAGTTTTCAACCATTGCCAGTTCTCCCATAAGAAGTGTCATCCACCTGCCTACCTCTAAAACCATTAAATCCATAGATAAATGAAACAAGTTTAGATTGGAAAGTGCCCATAAGGACAATGTAAACACTATTTGGCGCTATTCTTGCAACGGTCGCGACCCAAAACTTTTGAAAATTTCGGAGCGGTTCGGCTTTTTCCGGAATTATATCGCCAAATATTGTTTATTCAAATTTATTATTATTTTCGTTTAATTTTATAAATAAAATACAGTGTGTTGCATACAAAAGAAACTTTATTTTATGTAAGGACATTTGTATGAAATACCTATGAAACATTGAAACCGACGTTATGCCACGATCCACGATGGTTTTTGCAGTTCACAGTTTCTCAGCACAGCTTTTTTAAGTTTTAATGCCACTTTTTCACAATTATCACCGGTTGGAGTAAATAAAACTTGAATTAAACTCACAAGATAGCAATAATTACTTTGAAAATGGACGCTATAACACTTTTCGGAATTTCTTTAATGAGAGCGGTTTAGATTTTGAAAGATTATTATGATTTTTGAAGATTCTGACTTTGACAAGAAAAAATTATTTCTGTTTTTGTTTGCCGTTGTTCTTAGCGACCGCTATACCAGCGCCAGATCGCGTATAACGGTCGCGACCCAAAATAATTTCGCGACCTAAAATTTTTACGGGCTTTCCAATCTAAACTTGTTGCATTTATCTATGTCTACAAACAAAAAGTTCCTATAAACATACGCCCTAAAATGCTTCCCGGGGAAGTGACAGAGCCCTCGAAAGGGTAAATAAAAGAGTAATATACAGGGTGTCCCAATATTCCGTGGACATAGAACTATACTACGTATTTTTGGAATCAAATTAAGTTCATTGGACACAATTTGCCTCATAACTTGTACAAAAATGCTTCGTTTGTCCGCTAGAGGGCATTAAACTTTGTAAAAATAAACATATTTTTTCAGAAATATTTTAAAAACCGTTATTTATTCGATTTGAATGAGTTTTTTGGTGTCTATGTTTTGCTAAATGGTTTAATATTTGACTTTCACAAAAATCAAGATAAAGTTCGAAAAGGGTGAACCATAAATTTTTGAATATATTCGAACTCAACCGACGCGCTGACCGATGTTTTCCGTACTCTTTTACGTATTCTTTTTGAAGAAAAAAATATATTTGCCAAAGTGGATTTCCAAAAAATGTTTTTGTCACATCAAGTTATGGAGGCGAAGAAAATCTATTATAATCTATACTAAAAGACTAATATTTAAAATCCTTCAATGACTGACATACTGATTAATCACGATCCTGCTCAAACCACTCAACGTAAGAAGCTCAATTTTGGCATACGGGTTGATTCTAGGGTGTAGAGGTTCGATAAGAAGGGATTTTTCGAAATTCCAGTTCCAAGAGGGTGAAACCACCCCTCAAATATTTCAATATTTTTTATTTAAAAATGGTCAAGTTTGCGGGAAAACGCTTAAACAAGCATAATTTATTTTGTTTTTTTATTTTTAAATTTTTAAAAATCATACAGGGTGTTTCGAAAAGTTGGGTCATTTTTAATCACGATTCCTGCTTAAAGCGCTTGACGTAAAAAGCTGATTTTTGGAAAACAGATTGACTTTAGTGTGTAGAGGTTCGATAAGAGGGATTTTTCTAAACTCTAATTTACCAAGTTGGGTGAAACTATCCCTCAAATATTAAAATATTTTTTATTTAAAAACTGGTGAGTTTTTCTTAAACACGTATATTTTATTTTGTTGCTGACATAAATGTGAAAATTTTATCCAGTTTTGTATGTTAATGGCAATTTTTGCTTTGCTTTATCATCCCAAGTAGCAAATTTTATTTTAATAAGGGTGTATAAACAGCTATATGATCATTTTATAGGATACCTCAATTCATATAACGCGCTATAAGACTGTAATATGATAGCTTTACAACCAAAAAGGCCCATTTTTATACAACCGTTTAGTAGTATAGAAGTTCTATAAAAAGGCTATACAACTCTTTTGCAACTATTTTACACAGCGTTATATAACTATTATAAAACTAGTTTTATTTGTGTGTTACGTTGTCACATCTAAAAACAGAACAATAAAAACATTTGATCATTTAGCGAGGTAAAAAGAGTATTTTATTTTTTACCGAAGAATATTAGGAGCAAAATTATATTTTAAGCGTGTCGTAAAATGAATCTAGAGGATGTGGATTTTTAAAAGGAGACTTTACTCGACGGTGAAAATAGCGGGTACAGCCAGAAGGTACAACAAATATGTAATATAAAAATCATTAAGAGGGTTTGAAAAGTAGGGACAATTTTTGTTGCGCCGAAAATTTTACTGGTAGATTATATGTATGTATTTGGCAAAAAAAATTAAAGCGTTTTAATTTCGATTAAGGTTTACGTATAAATTTAAACAATAAAATAAAATAAAATTTTCAAAAATTCTTGTTTTTAATTTAATTAAACAGATTATTACTGTATGTGGAAATCTTATCACAAATAGTTCTCAAAAATAACATTTTACAATTTATTTTGATGTTTTTAATTTTGCTTCATATAATGGCGGCCATAGGCCATACAAAAATTCTGCCTTAAACATGGCGAATTATAATGTAACCATTTTATTCTAAATGAATCCCTTAAATAAATCTTTGTTGTAAAATAAAACGGTATAGGATAAATATCTATCATTACGCAGAATTTTCAGGCACTATAGAACTATTTTTGACATATTGAGATTTGTGACAAATAGATGTTGCCAAATCTCATTTGGTTAGTAAACTAACAAACATGATCAGATTTTCATGGATTCATGCACGCAATGCATTTCATGCATGCCCGACGAGTGAGCGGCAACCTAAGGACTTGGAAAAACAACAATAAAACAATACAAACATTACTACAGTAAAACTTTTACATCAACGTGGCAACAATGCTTTGAAGAAGCCAAACAACCCGAGAGATCTTGCTTTTGGGAACCCAGGGAATTTGCCGTAATTTCGAGGAGTTTTTCTTACATGCTCTTTATAACTACCACTGCGTTTGTTAACTTTTTTCCAACTTTGTCCAGAATTCATAATAGCTGTGATTGATTATACTCGTACGTAGATATTACTTTTGCAACAACAACAATAACAAAATAAATAACTAGGTATACCATTTAATTTAAAATGAGGTTATATTATACATTACCAGTTTTATAATGCAGATATTACAGCGAATTTATTTTGTTAATCACAATTTTATCATATAAGGCTGTATAACTAGTGTTGTATACAGCACCGTAGTTTAATGCAATAAAACATTCTATTATACACGTAATACAACTTTAATAAAACAAGTTTAAGTAACTATTATATGATCTTGTGACTACTAGTTATATCAATATTATAGCCAAACCAAACCAAACCAAATCAAACTCTTACATGGTGGGTATAAGTGTCTAATAAAATAATATTTTTTTTATCATATAGCATTGTCTTATTAAGTGTTATATCATACTAAAAGAAATTATCGTTTAATGCGTTATAGGATACGTTGTAAAAACCACTAGAAAATAGTTTAATATGACAACTTTTATTAAAAAACAGAATGGTCGAAACCAAACGCTTAATAAAATCAAGCAGTCCTTAAGACAACGCTATTCGACTGTTATAAAATAATTCAATCCTTTTAGAATTTCTTTTTGCTACTTGGGCATTGAGTAATCACGATTCTGCTTAAACTGCTTGACGTTTAAAGCTGATTTTTGGTAAACGGACTGACTGTGGGGTGTAGGGGTTCGATAAGGAGGGGTTTCTCGAATCTCAAATTCCAAGAGGGTGAAAACGCCCCCCAGATATTACAATATTTGTTATTTAAAAAATGGTTGGTCTTTCGGGAAAACGCTTGGACAAACATAATTTATTTGGTTTTTCTACATATTTTGAAATTTTTTAAAAAATCATACAGAGTGTTCCAAAAAGTTGGGTAATTTTTTAACCACGATTCTGCTTAAACTGCTTGACGTAAAAAGTTTATTTTTGGCAAACGGATTTTTCGAAAGTCAAATTCCAACGAGATGAAACTACCCCTGAAATATTACCAAGTTATACAATAATAATATCGCCATATTGTTTTTTCTCATGCTGACATAAATGTGAGAAAATTTTATCCAGTTTGTATGTTAATGGAAATTCTTGCTTCGCTTTATCATCACCATTACAAATGATTAATTCGACGCGAACGAAATCGCTGGTACACGCTAGTGCTCTAATAATCTAGTTGGCGATTTATGTTAGTATCGCAAATTATATTTGACAATCTTCAGTAAGAAATAAATCTAGATTTGACTAGACTTTGATGCATCTCCTGACTATAAAAGAATGAAGGAAATAATGTCAATTTATTTAATGATAATAACATCCGTTTGTGGTCTGAAACGAGTAAATATGTATAATAATACAAAAATGCCTTATCTGTAAATTCTTTGTTTTGAGATATCATGAGAAAATCAAAATATTTATATATATCTTTCCTAATAAGTTTATTTCAATGTTTTAACGTCACATAAATCATCTACAATAGAAATTATATTGTCCCAGAAATATATAAACAGAGCACTTAAAAAAATTTGTGGGAAAATAAATATTCCAAAATATAGTGAATAACAATATGTAAAAATATTATTTAACACACTATGATAAAATAAATACTGTATGATATACGTCTATACATTCATTTACGCCTCACTATAAGTTTAAAATAAACAATTAATTTTATTTGTTGCTAGAATAACAGGTGTGTATAATTAAAAAAATCTTTTTTTTTCAAACGTCACTAATTTTTGCGACTTGATTGACAATATAAAAGGTCATTTTAACGCCTTTCTTACTAACAAGGTATTATTTTAACTCTTTTTATATAATTTGGAACGTTTGAGAAATTGTTTAAAAAATTATTTGTGACGTTTGAAAAAAAAATTGCCTGTTCTATTTTGAGTAAAAATAACTTTTTGTGTCTCCCCCGTAATGTCAAACGTATAGCCTCACCACAAGAAGTATAATTTTTACTCCTAATAAAACAAAATACTATTTTAGAGCATAAATCCAATATATTTTTTTTTTAAATTTGAGTCTAATAACATTAACAGTTTTATTGTCTTTATTTCTAGTAATAACAAGTGATAAAAAATAAAATAAAATAAAAAATAAATGTTTTATGGGCATAATCTTTCAAAAATCCAACCTTCCTCTCCTTGTTTTGTTAATACACCATCTGGTTCTCCATCTTCAGGCATTCTAAATCTAATTCTATCATGGATTCTGTTTGTTTGACCTTGCCAGAATTCAAACAACCTTGGTTTCAATAAATATCCACCCCTAAAACAAAGATAGATATTTCTTTAAGTACCATGGCCGCGAATCATCCTGTATACTGTTACGCGATATTTTTAAGAATAACTAAAAAAGTCCATGGTCATTTTCTCTATATCTCTGAATACAGGCATTGAAACATAGTAAGAAATTCAAAATAACTGTTATTTACCATAATGGTGGTCTTGGAACCTCTCCAGGTCCGTATTTCTGCCTTAGATCTTCTTCTATGTTCAATAGGACGTCCCTACTTTCAACAGGCCTACTCTGATTGCTCGAAAGTGATCCTATTTGACTGTTATAGGGTCTGCTAAAGAAATATTCGTCTGCATCTTTAAAAGGCAATTTTTCAATGTCTCCTTCAATGCGAACCTGGAAATATTATTTAAAATAATTTTACAGTTAATATAATACAGGGTAAGGCAACAATAGAGTTAGTAAGTTCATTATAACAAAAAAGCTTTACACTATTGTTGACTCACCCTGTAAAATAAATGTTATTGTTCTTACTGATCTGCTATATCTATCCCAATAGAATGTCATGGCAGCTTTCGGGTTTTCTTCCTAAAAAATATAAATATATTCTTTTAAACAATGAAATATACAGAGAAAGTAAAAACGTACTAGTTCTTGGCCTTTTCTGCTGGTATAATGGGTGTAAAATACAAACCCTTTTTTACTAAAACCTTTGATCAATACAAATCTTGCTGAAGGAGTTCCATCTCTAAAAATGCCCAAATAAGACTTAAAAATCGTGTAAAAATGATAGTTTTATATTACTTTGTGCTGGTTGAAAGGCATACTGCATTGGGTTCGACAGTTTTTGGATCGTCTTTAATAATTTGAAACCACTTTGAAAACAAATGGAATGGCTCTTTCACTTCAATATCCGCTTCGAGGAACACATTCTTGCGGTCGTTGTACTCGGTCCTCATGCCTACATCAAATAATTAAGAAATTACTTGTAAAATACTCGAAATTCCGACAATATTTACCTCCAATATCCATTGTTTAAGATGATGAAACCGACCTTAACAAATGCGATAATGAAACTGGAGTTGTGAAAGGCACGTACACTGATGTAATAACATTTTTATTAGTTTGAATAAGAGTGAATGGGATTAGAGATATAATAACTTCTTAAAAAACATGTTTTTATCTTGCCTTGTTATTAGGAACAGCTGATTTGTGTCAAAAACCACATGGCAGGTTCCTAATCACAGACATGATATCATATTAACGTCTCTGTCTAATTTGATGACTTACAATAAAATTAGTTTTATTGTTTTAATAGATTAATAAATTCTGGAATAATCTCTCAGGTTTTTATCTGCTTTCCTCTCGTAGCGATATCCAAAAATAATTAACTTTTCTAATTATTTTTTTATGATTTTTGAAAGCTTGTAACGTAGCGCTATTCTAACTTCTTATTCATATATCGCCGCCACAAATTCTAGGTTAGAAAATTTGTGTAATTAAATATTTTCTAATTTTCCCCTTAACAAATCAGCATATTATTATGGCTGATGCAAAAAAGGTAAGTAAATCTAATTAAACCCCGTTAAATCGTTTAAACGCGCTAACGAAAGCTGAGAGGTTAAAATTCTAACCGAAAAAATCATCAGGCATGTTGCATTGTCAAGTCAAATTGTTTTTATATTTATCCCTTGAAAAATTTTTGTTTGAAGATGCTTTCTCACGTATCTCTCAACAGCGATGGCACGCCTGCTTCGCCTGTACTGGCCAAGGTCTACTCTTTCAATTTATTTCGGATTTTTCCTCACATCAGGACGTTTTTTTTCAGGTTCAAGAGTACAAAGACACTTTGAAGGTTCAAGCTGAAGAACTGGTAATCAAAGGGTTCCCGGAGACAATCGTGAAGCTTAACAACATCCTGGAAACGCCCCAGTTCCGTAACAGAGCCTTCACTGAGGTCCATCAAGATTTAAACATACCTGTTCCAGACCCGATCTTGTTAAACAGTAATTCCGATTTGCCTCCTGCAAAGAAGACTAAATATGATAACAGTATATCGAAAGAAGGGACGAAGGTGCTTGCACTTCCTAGTGGATCTGTGGCAACCAACAAAAACCTGGTTGAACTTGTAGAGTTGGTGAAACCGCATATTCGCAAGCTTGTGGAAGACTCAAACACTGTAAGATGCTAATAGTAGGTTTGTAAGCAAGTTAAATGAGTTTGTGGTTGATTTTAGATGAAAATGTGGATTTCCTTTATGATTCCTAAGATAGAAGATGGAAATAACTTTGGAGTATCAATCCAGGAAGATACATTAGCTGAAGTACAGTCAGTTGAGTCCGAAGCAGCAGCTTTTTTTGATCAAATCTCAAGATATTTCATTTCTAGAGGTAGAAACCTATTAAAAAGTCTGTTAATATTAAGATTTAAACATTATAATGTCTTTTTCTAGGAAAATTAATATCAAAAGTAGCCAAATATCCACACATTGACGACTACCGTAGGGCGGTGCAAGAGTTAGATGAAAAAGAGTACTTAAGTTTGTGGCTGGTGATGTCAGAGATCAGGAACAGGTACTGCGCCCTTCACGATATCGTTCTGAAGAATTTGGACAAGATTAAGAAACCTCGGTCGGCCAACGCGCAAGAATCTTTATATTGAGTAGGAGATTATTTTTTTCAATAAATTGCTAAGAAACTTTTATTATTTTTGGTTTGTTTTATTTATTCTATCTCATGTTTTTATAATTAGTGACTTGAATTAGACAGAGAGAGATGAACAGTTTGTTGAAAAATTTTGGACATACCTACAGGGTGTTCAAAAAATTATTTAAAAAAGAAACTATATTTGGATATTGGATTGCTATATTTTTAGGAAGGTAATTTTAACTTCTTTTCAATAAATTTAAAATATACAGGGTGTCCCATAAAAACACCCCGTAACTCCGAAACGGTAACAGATATCGATATGCGGTTTTTACCAGCATGTTTGTGATAAAAAAGTAAGCTCCAGACACCAATACTAGTTTTCGTCTATCTCCTATTGAAAGTGATAGTGTTTCCCTTTTAAAAATGTCCAATTTGACCCACACGGTACAGGGTGGGTCAAATTCGATGCTTTTAAATGGAAACACCCTTTTCTATAGGAGATAGACGAAAACTAATATCGCTGTCTGGAGCTCAATTTTCATCAAAATATGATGGTGAAAACCGCATATCAATATCTGTTACCGTTTCGGAGTTACGAGGTGTTTTTCAAAAATATGCATTTTTAACAAATCGCTATAACTTTTTTGCTATGGAAAATTTTGTATTTTTATGAAAACATTTCCAAAGCACCTTTTTACGTAGAATTTAATGGTTTAAGTATAATTTTTTTAAAATTAATAATTTAAGAGTTACCAACAGAAAAATTGATTTTTTATTTGGGACACCCTCTATATTTTTAATTTATTGAAAAGAATTTAAAATTACCTTTCCAAAAATATAACACACTTGATATTTTGCTCGATTCCCCTTCGAGATATAGAGTATATAAAAATTCGCCCGCTTTAAATGAGTAGGCTTTGAACGGCACCGGCTGTAATGCAAAAAAATCTAGCTGTGAAATGAGCATCAATTAAAACGAAAATAATATTTGCTGTGAGAGATGCAGAATTTTATAACTATTTAAAATATATTTAACCAACATCAACGCATTTAAACTATATCTAATAACAATAAAAATAAATAGCAAACCAAGACATGAGATTTTGCTACAGGTGTTCGACATATCGACCGTCTTCTGTTATGGACAGACGGGGCAGTTTTGGAACATTTCTCGCGGAATTCATTAACTCGGTGGGGGTGAAAGATACCTCTCATAACTGCTAAGTATTTCTAATTCTTTTCTAGATTCTACGGAAGAATAAGGAACCTTTATTTTTCCGCAAATATATCCATAGGATTAGATCCATGGGCACTAAGTCAGGCGGCCTCGACGGCCAACGTCTGGAATCTTGGTTAGCTATTCAATTATTCTTGAAATTGGATGTAAAAATTTGCTGATAACTTCAGCGTTCAGAGGCGGTGTGTCGTCTTGCTGGAAAAATATGTTTTCGAGTTCCATTAAGGGCATATCATCAATAAGGGGTCCAAAGCCTACTAGTTAAAAGTGGCGAACTTTTAAAAATTCTGTATTTCGAAAGGGATTATAACAAAATATCAAGTGTGCTATATTTCTGGAAAGGTAATTTTAAATTATTTTCCTGCCTCGAGGTTTACAGGGTGTTTAAATAAAGTCAAGTACTATTAAATAGAATTATTTCCTAAGGTAGAAAAATCATTATTTATCTGACATCTCAGGTATAGATACTGGCAACTTCAACCGCGCGATTTGTCAGATTTTTGTACCTTTTTTTCATATACACATTTTTTTACGCGCGCCAAAAATACACACAATCATCTTAAATGATCGAGAACCAGTTCAAGACCCAAACCAGCTGGACCATTGATGAGTTTCCCGAAAAGGAGCCCTCGAAAATCATCAGAAAATACATCAACTCGGCCATCTACGTGGAGAAAACTATCACCGACATGACTCCAAGTCGAAAAACCAGCCCTCTATCTGCCTCAGACGAAGATGCCTCTCCCAAATCCACCGTAAGGTTGAACACAGCATATATCTCTTCAAAAAATTCACTCGGTATTAAAAAAAACACGTCTTCATCTTCCTCGAACTCTTCACAATACAGGAGCAGCACAGACGAGAGCAAATCTTCGTCGCTACCGAAGAACAACTCGGAAATTGGCTACGATGATAGCGATGTCACAGTGAAACCTCCAAACAATGACCTAAGACTATCTTTAACAGGTCTAAACAGCGATAGAACCGACAGAATATCGTGTCTGAACCTCAAAGAGAAAGAGGAGATAGTGCAGAGCTGGATGCTGCGCAAAGAACAGGAAAAACGACAAAAAGAGCTGCGCGAAACGAAGTTAGCTAAGGAAAAGGAAGAAGAACGTCAAAGGATTATAGAGAAAGAGAGGGAGAACTTTAAGAAATGGCTGGCGGCTAAGAAAAAGGAAGAGGAAAGGAAGAGAATGGAAAAAGAGCTAGAGGAAGAACAGGAGAAGCTGAAGGAGGCTGAGAAAGAGAAGAAAAGAGTGGAAAACGATATAAATTATACTCTGTGGTTGAGGAGGAAGAAGAAATCTGATCTAGGTGGGTACAGTTTGCTGGTTAATAGTCTGTCCTTTTTAATTCGCAGACAAATTGTATTTTCTGTCATTTCGGATTTCGTTTGATGTTCTGAGAAAACTGAGAACAGGCTTTAGAGACAGACTTTATTTTTTTTCTGTGCGCTGTCAAAGTATTTTCGTTTGGTTTTAGAAAGAAAAATACGAGAAAAGATAGCTCTTCTGCATTTGTACGAAGAGAAGCAACGTAGGATGGAGGAAAATGAGAGAGCCTATCAGGACTGGCTGAAGAATGCCCAAAACCGGCAAAAGCCTGTACCGATGAACAAGGGATTACAAAGTACGAATGAACACTCTGTATATAATGCCATAGATTAAAATATACATTTGTAATAACTTTTACTGAATACAAAGTCTCTATATAATTATATATTTTATATTTTAGGTTTGTGTTCGTCTACATCAATCACCTATATCAACCCAGTGCCGTGGACACCAAATATTGATATTCAACCGTGATCACAAAATATACACATAAATCTAGTAATTTTAATATTAATATATAATATATACATACTGTCTTTGTTTATTTTTTTTATATTAGAAAACGCTATTTCAAAATCCAACATTTTAATATGGATTATTCTAAAAATTGTCACATTTCAAACAAGCATTTTTCTTCAGTGGCAATATTCCCCCGTTTATTTTATTAAAACTTTACTTTCCATAAATAAAACAAAGACCAATTTAATTTCAAATAAATATTTAATAAAATAGCTAACAATAAAAATTAATTATTCTAAATATATCTCTTAAATAAGTTAATAATACAAAAAATAAGACGCACCTACCGTTTATAACACAAATTCGAATATAAAAACAGTTAATATTCGAAAATGTCTGTTAGATTTACAGGGTTGCCGAAATTACAGTCTAAATAGGCAGATTTCAAAACAAAAATAGTTTATAAATACTAACAGTGGCGTTAGTAGATCTTAATATATGAAATATTATTTAAAAAGTCTTTAATATGCTCTTAATAACGTCAATATCTATTTTTTTTCAAATATACAGATTCCCGCCATCCTCGTGACGTAACAAATGAGATGAGAAATCAACCAATCAAGCTGGTAATAACATAAATAACGACCATAGGATATATTATTTCGCCAGATGGCATCCAAAAATGACAGATAACTGTCATTAATGTCATATATTCTCCGTTGGATAGTTGACTATACAAAATATATGGTATTTAGGGTGCATTTAAAGCCAATATAAGCTTCTGTCATCTCTTCTCACTTGAAGCATCGTCACGTGTCTGTAGATTTTCAAAGCCGGTCCAAGTTTCAGGTTCAGACTCGTCAAAACGTCCATCCTCTTCAAAAGTAGCAGAGAGCGACCGTCAATTTCCTAGAACAATATACAGTGTGTTCAAGAAACAAGCATAAATGAGAAACACGTGTATAATAAGTTTCATATTTTCATTATTAAAAAAAATTCTATAAATAATTTTTTATCGTTTTTTTTTAATTTCATTTTTTAACAAAAACTATTCATTTGTCAAAGTCGGTTGGGGAATGACAATCGATGATAATTTTGGCGAGGTCAAGCTCTAGACGTCATTTTACTTGGACCGTACTTAGGAAAAAATATATTTTTTTTCAAATTTGTGTCTCTGGAAACGTTCTATCCCTTTTTAATCTTTCTATAATTCGTGTTAATTTTTGACAGTTTTAATGTCAATTTTTAGTAAATGACCTCTGCATAATTATCAGCGATTCTCATTCCCCAGCCGTCTTTGACGCAGTTTTTTTTCGATCATACGGTATTTTGAAGCAATGCAGCTATGAAGTTGATTGAGAAACAGATATTTTTTATTGATCTGTGTTAAAAGTTGAGAAGAGAAGCATTTTGCTTATTTTTACGTAAGTTTGACAACGTTGTAACGAAGAATAAACAATTTTCACAGTTTTTTCAACGTTACTATGAAACAGGCTGAACTAAAGAATATTTTTTTTGTTAAAATGCCATGAGAAGGTTTATTTGCATATAGAACCTCGTTTCTATAGGTTTTTAAGTTCCGTCCACTGACCTGACGTCAGACCTAGGCCGTCTATTCTATGTCATTTGAATACATATACTAACTTCTAACAAGATTTTGGTAAACCTATTTGAATTATAATTTTTTATTTACCCTGTACACACACAATTAATATAATAAATCTAGAATTAACAAAAAAATCCAAAATACTTTGTAAAATAAAGTAATCAGAAAAAAAAGTTGTATCGGCAACAACGCGCGACCGGCGCGACGCGCGATGTTCATTTATTTCCGTTGACAGTTTTTTTAATCGTCAACGGTTATTTTTCATTTCTTCTATTTCTAGTTTTAATTTTATACAAACAGTTCACAAAATTTCGCGAATATAGACTAAAGAACGTGTTTATATTTACTTTCATTTTATTAACGAAATATAGCGATATAATTAAAACAAAAGTGTTGTAATAGTGAGGTTGTGAACTTTTCAGAACATTCAAAATAAAATGAATTTTAACAAGTTGGAACAAGAAAAGGCATGAACAAGCAGAAGACTTGACGTTGATAGGGGTAAGTACATATTTTATTAAAGAAAATTGTGAAAGAATAGCCAAACATCGATTACCTACATTTTAAGTTTTTTATTGAAAGTATTATTTGATCAAGGAGGTCTTTGAAGTTATAAGACGATATTACATGCCAAATTTCATAGATCTAGGTCAACGGAAAATACCCTATAATTTTGATTTTTGACATTGTTTCTCTTGACAATGTCGAAATATATGTTTCTTGTGGCATAAACGGTCGTATCTTTTTTTTACGTTAACTTAGAAGTTCGATTTTTTAAAACTAACTAATTTACCTGTTCTTTAAAGACCTTGGCCTCCTCAGGAAAGTACTGCGCAAAGTACTGATACACTTCGTCAGGGGTCCAGTGTGTGGCATCGGGTATAGAAGGATCGATGTGTAGATCTTCCTCAGATTTTATACTGTTCGAATCGGAATGAGCGTCTCTATCTGAAATATCGTGTCTCGGGTTGTTTTGGGGACTCAATCTAGGCGGCGTAGGGCTATTGGGTGGCGAATCATAGGGGGACGATCTCCCAGAAACGGAATTCGACTGAGACATGTATTTATCTGCAAAAAAATAATTTTTTTAACATAACCACCAAAGATAATGAGCTGATAATTATTTCGGCAACATAGTGCAGTTGTTATACCATACGATCGAAAAAAACCGGCGTCATAGAAGGCCGAGGAATTACATTCGATGATAATTTTTGACAAGGTCAATAAAACAGCTTTCTGTGTCTTTTTAATCTTTCTAATAATAGCTAGTATTAATTTTTTACAAGTTTTATGTCAATTTTTAGTCTAGAGATTAACCTCGCCATAATTATCATTGTTTGTCATTCCTCGGCCGTCTCTGACGCCGTTTTTTTTTCGATTATATGGTACCAGTTGTACATACCGTGTTCGCTGTCATTTATGCTGATCTTATGACTGATACTGTCACCAATGTTCGACTGGATGTCGTTGAGCTTAATGTCGTCGGAAACTTGACAGTTGGAACAGAGCCAACGCTGACCATTCTTAATTTTTTCGAGTATTCGAGGTTGATGACAGGTGGCGTGGTATCCGTCAGCACAGACGTTGCAAACAATAAGATTTCCCTAGAAAATTAGACATATTTATTAGTTTAGTATTGTGGTACAAAATAATCAACTATATAAGGCAATTTATATACAGAATGAGAAAGTTTTCGTTAAGTACACCGGGTGTTGCATCGCCGGACGGGACATAGGAAATCCCATGTAAATTTTAATGGGGTCAATTATTACTGGCTTCCCTAATTATTTTAGAGAATAATTCTATTTAGGTTTATTGAAGAGCACTAAAACCCACATTCAAAAGAATAACTTTAGATATTTTTGATTAGCTCGTTTACGAGTTATCGCCGATTTCTTTTTAAATATTTCTCCTGTCAGAAATCGGCGATAACTCCTAAACGGGCTAATCAAAAATATCTAAAGTTATTCTTTTGAATGTGGGTTTTAGTGCTCTTCAATAAACCTAAATATGATTATTCTCTAAAATAATTAGGGACGCCAATAATTGACCCCATTAAAATTTACATGGGATTTCCTATGTCCCGCTCGACGATGCAACACCCGGTATAGAAAAAAATGTTTTAAGAAAAACTATATCCAATATACAGGGTTAGGCAGTAGTGCGTCGGGCATCTGCAGCTCCTAGATGGAGAATTAAAATATGAACATTTTTTGTATGTAGAGTATTTCAAAATATTTAACGGTTTCGCAGATATTCTTGGTTTCTCTCAGACATTAAATGATAATTTAATATCTTGCTACTATACTTACCGCATCAGATGTTTCATAGCACACAACACAAGTCTTACAATGCGGACACTGCCAGGTATTGTCCGGATACATCTTGAGCATCATATCATCCCCGTTTAAACAACTATAATGAGCTAGAAAAAAGAAACCCTCAATTAATTTAACTATTACAAACATTATTATTTAAAAAAACTATACCTTTGTTACTACATTCCCTGCATGCCACCATCCGATCACTAGGACCCCTTTTGCTCTGAGTGTGACACACTGAGCATACCCCTCCATGGTCTCTGCTTCCTGTAGACGTCCTAGAGTCAGGCCTTGAGTCTTCGTCTTTCTTGATGTTGTTCTTCTCGATGGTAGTTCGGTTTAGTGAACCAGCAGGTCGCCCTCTTTTCCTTGGAATGTGTGTGTCGGAGGGGTCAAATACTTTTTTGGCTTTCTATAATCAACAATATGTTTATTACTATGGTTTGGTAGTGGAAAAATGCTAAATTTACAGGCTTTTTTGAAGGTTTCATTGTAAAATGGTATATATCAGATAAGATAAAGTTAAAACTAATTTATAAGAAAACTTCAATGACACCAACAAAAGCTTTACAAAAGTAAAATTCGGAGCTTGTCATCAAGAATTTGCAAAGGTTTGTTAAAAACCACGTAAAAAATGCATGAAGATGATGATAGTATTCCTTCAGCAATTTACGGCAGCTCAAGAAGCAAAACTGTCCATATACTGCCGGCAAAGCCTATAGAGAACATTAAGAAAAAGTGAAAATATATAAAACTAGTTATTTTATCTTACTAATTGATAGAATATCACTTCAAACGCCTCAAATGGATACAATTGCAATTCTTATATGATTATAGATAAATGTATTTCATTTTAAAGTTTAAAAATAAAGAAGTGAGGTTATGTTCGAGGCAAAGTTAAATAAACCTTGCTTTAAAAACCATACAAATGTATCTGGACTTTTTTAAAACGTCTAGCTAAATATATTATTTGGTAATTCTGCATCAAAATAAAAATATTTACCGTGGTATTTGTTGATTTTCGGATCATTTTCTAAACAATCTAGTCGTCACCAAAGAGAAAAAAGCCAAACAGTGACTTTGACAGATGTCAGCTGTCGCGAAAGTAAACAAAACAGTGTTGCCAGAACTACGGATTAATCCGTAGATTTACGGATTTATTTAGCACAGTCTAACGGTTATACTGATAAAAAAAACGGCGTCAGATTTGGCTTGAAAATGAAGATCGCTGTTATTTCAAGATTTCATGTAAAGTGATAAATGTAAATGTGAGCGATCGTCATTTCCAAGCCAACTAAACGACCTTTTTTCAGTCGTACAAAATATTCAGTGCCTATAAAAGAACTTTTTAGAATTGTTCATCTTTCATCTGTTAGCTAGCTCGTATTGTATAGATACTGAAGAGTAATAATGTTTTGTTTCATTTTTGATTCGATAATGCATAAATACCGATATTGCACTTCTTCATCTGGCAACACTGAAACGAAACAAAAAAAAAAACTAACCTTGCGCCTTCCTCCTAATCTCACACTGGCGTGATCAACCCTTCGCCCCTCATAGGGTTGTTCCCTTCTCTTTTCCGCTGCAGCCTGTTGCACTTTTGCTATCATCCGTTTTTTCGGTTTCAAAGCCGTTGGTGTTGTTGTTGCGCTACTTGAAGGAGTTGAAATGGTGGTGGCACTCTGTACTCTCACTTCAGGAGAGGGTTCGTCGGTTTGAACCAGCGCGTGCTGACTAGTTTGGTGTTGAAGTTTCGGCTCTGTCGGGCTCAGCCATGTCCGTTTATCGTCGGCACAGGGCCCTAAGAGGAAATGCCCGTTTGACAGCTTAATTAAGTTGCCCCTTTCAACCTCTTTGACCAGGAGGATTGCGACATAGTTTCGCGTGTATCTCACGCTGTCTTTGCTGAGAATACTGTCAACTATCTCTCTGGGAGGGACTCCAAGCTCTAAATAATCCGGCTCCTGTACAATAATCTCCCCGATAACGTTAGTGAGAAGATCCATGAAGTTTTTGCTGACCGAAGCCATTTTCCCCACGGGTAGAGAGCTGTGAGCCGCGGCAGCTCCCTGTAGGGCCTCCCGATGACGCACTTGGGCCCATTTCTTAGCCGCATTTCGATAGCTGATGCTGCCTTTGTACTCGACTTTCAGCACGATGTTGTTGGCCACGCACCATTCGAGATCCGCCTTGGCATCGCCGGAGTTGATGTGAAAACGGCGAAACAAGTATCCGCAAATGCGCTGGAAATCGGGTCTGGCTTTGCGATTCCTCAGCTGGTCTATGGCTTCGAGGATGCGTTCCCTGTTGCGCGTCGATGGCGAACTCATGGTCGTCTGTAGGGAGATCAAAAAAATTGTAACGCGTTAGTTTAGCGTGTAAAGTGGCTTTAATGAACTCTACTTATTTTTTTATTGTACATTAGCTGAAAGAACTTAAAATTAAAACAGGCACAAAAATTAGGGATAAAAAAACGCAAGACTATCAACAGTTCGTGGACAAAAACGCGAAGATTCCAGAGCAGTGTTGCCAGAATTAAGGGATTTCCTTTAATTAAGGATTTGATGGGTTTTTATCCAAAAAGAAAACAATATGAAGGTTTCTGGCAGTATTGCGCAATAAAAATTGTTAAAATATGTAGTAGGAGGGATTTTCCTACAACTATTTTTGTTGTTGTCAAAAAGTCCGCAAGATTTTAAAAACAGTGAATAGATACATTTTTATCTTTTAATGCGTCTTATTACACACATACCATAACTAAGCCAAAGTTCTTGATGTTGAAAAGAAATAAATAGGTAAACGAAAAACATCTAATAAGTCAGCTGATCATGGCGTCTTGCACAATTATTCTCGGTTCAAGCAGTCAGGGGCGCATATACGGGAGGAGTAATGGGGGTAATTACCCCTCCTAGAAAGAAATTAATTTATTTTAATTATTTCTTTCGAAAATCGACAACTATGAAACTATGAACCCTTCCCGGACACAAACGGTACACTGTGAGACAGGAAATTGTAGAGAGAAACGTGCCCTATAACATAGGATACAACATTTTAATGAACAGTGCTTTCCATAAAATCAATAAAATGAAAAATATACGAAATAATATACATGTACTGATTTCTTTCGAAAATCGACAACTATGAAACTATGAACTCTTCCCGGACACAAACGGTATATTGTGAAACAGGAAATTGTAGAGAGAAACAAGCCCTATAACATAGGATACAACATTTTAATAAACAGTTCTTTCCATAAAATCAATAAAATGAAAAATATACGAAATAATATACATGTGCTGATTTCTTTCGAAAACCGACAACTATGAAACTATGAACCCTTCCCGGACACAAACGCTACATTGTGAGACAGGAAATTGTAGAGAGAAACAAGCCCTTTAATATAGGATACAACATTTTAATGAACAGTGCTTTCCGTAAAATCAATAAAATGAATAGTATACGAAATAATATACATGTACTGATTTCTTTCGAAAATCGACAACTATGAAACTATGAACCATTCCCGGACACAAACGGTACATTTTGTGAAACAGGAAATTGTAGAGAGAAACACGCCCTATACAGGGGCGCATATACGGGAGGGGTAATGGGAGTAATACCCCTCCCAGAAAGAAATTAATTAATACGATGAAATTTGGTATAAAATAAAATTGTTACAAAAAAGTTCATAATACAAATTGAAACAGAATATCCAAACCAATCCAAGTAGATTTTTTCCACAGTTACAATACCTTCCAACAAAAATTTAATTCGAATTTAGTACTTTTTTGAATATTCAGTACCCCTCCCAGACTCAATCTCTAGATGCGCCACTGCAAGCAGTCATTGTAAGCAATGAATTTTTTGAAACATACTTTATATAATACTGCCACAATACTGATGTCGAGTATCTATCACAGCCCTTCTGATCGTGTTATTTTTTTTAATAAAAAGTTTATTTAAATACATTGGTGTCCAAAAATTACCAGAAATAAGTTTTTATAAGATCAGGAATTTTTTGAAATTTGGTGAATTTTCATAAGATCTGCAACTTTTTGTGAAGTTTTCAAGGAATATGAAGGTTTTTAAGTTAAGGCTCCGTTGAAGAAATTCGCTCGAAAATTATTGGCAACACTGTTCCAGGGTATTAATTATTATTCTTCCGCTCTAGGACATTGATGATCATTGCTTTGTCCTGCTTTAATTGATGTTTTTGTTATATTATAATAGTTTTTAACAAAAAATAATCCATATTTGAACACAACTAGTTAATTCTTTAGAGAAAGAATTGACTTGAACTTTTGTATATAAAAATGTATACAAAAAAAAATGATATAAGGTTATGACGCGTTAAATTTGCGTCTAAAATGGGCATTTTATCTTATTCTAGACATTTTTTGTAAGCCAAATTAGCTTCTTAAAGAGCTTAAAATTGACACACAAAAAATTAGGAATAAAAAAACGCAAGACTATCAACAGTTCGTGGACAAAAACGCGAAGAAATTCCAAAGTATTAATTCTTCCGCTCTAGGACATTGATGGTCCTTGCTTTATAAGTGCTTTATTTGTTTTTGTAATAAATAATAATATAACAAATTAATACGGGTAGTTGCGTTTAACAAAAAAAAACAATCCCTGTTTGAGCACAACAAGTAATGTATCTTTAAAGACATCCTATTTATTGTTAGGTAAATCTTTTTGAGGTGTGCACTTTTTTTCGCAATAAAAACAATCAGGTACTTTGAGGTATATACTTACTATGACTTGAGATGGGTTTAGGCTTGAGACTATCGTGTCAATTCCTTGAATTTATTAAGTTTCGGGCGGTTTCCGTAACTTTTGACGCGCGATCACTATGCTGCGACGAACGACGGCCAGCTCAAAAGAAGCGCAGAACGCCTCGCCGTGTGCGAAACCCTTTTCGAACCTTTTTCCGGCTGTTTCGAAGTCTGAATTTCACGGGACGTTGTTCGCACAACGTTTCGCAACACTTTGGCGGAGTTTTCACCGCGGTGCGCCCGATATTTCCCGGGAAAAATGCGCTTTTCTGGTGGCGGACCGGTGCAAGAAGCGCGCGACGTGAGACGGGCTCGTTCGGCGATCGGTTTGCTTTTCCGCCGTGTTGCGGCGATGACGGGGTGGCCGACGAGCGGCAGGGGCGGAGTGCGCGCGCGCGGCCAGCCGATAACGCGCCGGAGGTCGCTAGGGATGGGCGGTCGCGCGGATAATATCGATACGTGTGCGTGTTTCCTCTACTAGGCGAGTCTTATGGCGCATTCTCACCATTCGTGTACTTGACAAACATTTATAATTGGTATACTCTGTTTTTTTTCTCAGGTAAGATTTCGACAGACGATGACAGAAGAAAAGCAGATGACGTCCCATACCAATCTATTTATTTTACTAAAAAAAGTTTCTAATAATTTTTAAGTTATCAATGGTTAGTTATCACAAGTTATCTATGGATGGGTTTAAATATATATCCGTCATTCGTCGTGTTTTGTTGTTTTTAACCAGTTTTATTGGTTTATTTAAAAAATGACAGATCGTATTTCAATTTTATCGGTTTGACGGAACGATGATCGACAAACGGACGCCGATGCGTATGAACTCGCCTTTAGATTTTTGTCATTTTTGACGCTTGTCAAAGTCTTGCCAAATTATAGGTTATAATTTTGTGTCAATTTTTGTTAAATACCCCGCGTTTCGGAAGATGGTGCATTTTGATTCGTATTATTACGTGTGTTTTGTGTCTTTTGAAGTCAAGTGGAGGAAAAATCGAGTGAAAATTAACTGTAGACCGAGAGCACAGTTTATGGTTAATACTCGCTGCCCAGGCAGATAGTCTTATACACCAATGAAGTTGCCATCGATAAAGTTTGTATACCATTTCGTCGTAGATAAGTGCATCTCGTATATGGTAGAAGGATCAAACTAAACACATACTAAAAACTGGAGTAGCTGTAAAATATCGACATCACACGATAGGTAAATAATGGATTTTAGTACTGCAGAAAAATAATGTCAAAAGGTACTGGTTTAAAAAATTAAGATTAAAGTTAATTAATCAACCTTTAAGGTATAAAATTTGGTAGGTGTTATTATTAATAAAATAGTTTGTTTTATTTACCTATGTTGTTTTATTTATTCCTGTGGAATATTACAAATTTGTATTTGTACATATGTACATAAGTTATATTGATAAATATAATCATAAATGCGGGTAGTTTCATAAAGCTTGAAAGTAAATAATAGTTCTTTTTTAAATTTTTTTGGTATGTAGTGTCTTGTTCTTGTTTGTTTTGTATTAACACATACCGTTTTTATTAAATAAAATAACTCGATTACATTTTTTCAGTTTTATACAGTTTTTTTCACAATATTTTGAAGCAATCACTTGTCATCTTGTCAATCAAATTTTAAATATATCCTGCTGTGCGTTCCAGTTGTACCAACTTATTTCTTTGTAAAAAAAAATAAACTACTTTGAAATTAAAATGACAGACACATCTATCACTGTCAAGGATCTTCTCGTTGGACAGACTATATACATGGTGCGTCGGGCATTTATACAGAATTTCCTAGTTATTTATAATAAAAAAAATTAAAGTTAAATATATACAGTATGGCACACCTCATTCACCTTGGTTGGTTATACGAAAACGGAAAGATGTAGAAACAAAATATTTTATGGGTACATGTGGGAAGGCAATGTGCATAATTTAAAATTATTTTGAAATATACAGGGTGTGTCAGAACTAAGATCCGTACCAAAGTTAATTTTTTCTTATGGAACACCCGGTATTTTATTTCATTTTTGGATTCTTGGACATAAAACAAATGTTGACATATATCATCAAGGAATTATGTTGTTTAACTCAAAACTAAACAAATTTGCAAAAAAAATCAAATTTTCTTTTTTCAATTAAAGCAGGACAAAGCAATGATCATCAATGTCCTAGTGCCGAAGAATAATAATTAATACCCTGGAACAGTGTTGCCAATAATTTTCGAGCGAATTTCTTTAACAGAGCCTTAAAAACCTTCATATTCTTTTGAACTTCACAAAAAATTCCAGATCTTATGAAAATTCACCAAATTTCAATAAATTCCTGATCTTATAAAAACTTATTTTTGGTAATTTTTATTAAAAAAAACACGATCAGAAGGGCTGTGATAGATACTCGACAGCAGTATTGTGGCAGTATTATATAAAGTATGTTTCAAAAAATTCATTGCTTACAATGACTGCTTGCAGTGGCGCATCTAGAGATTGACTCTGGGAGGGGTAGTTAATATTCAAAAAAGTACTAAATTTGAATTAAATTTTTGTTGGAAGGTATTGTAACTGTGGAAAAAATCTACTTGGATTGGTTTGGATATTCTGTTTCAATTTGTATTATTAACTTTTTTGTAACAATTTTATTTTATACCAAATTTCATCTTATTAATTAATTTCTTTCTGGGAGGGGTATTACTCCCATTACCCCTCCCGTATATGCGCCCCTGTATAGGGCTTGTTTCTCTCTACAATTTCCTGTTTCACAAAATGTACCGTTTGTGTCCGGGAATGGTTCATAGTTTCATAGTTGTCGATTTTCGAAAGAAATCAGTACATGTATATTATTTCGTATATTATTCATTTTATTGATTTTATGGAAAGCACTGTTCATTAAAATGTTGTATCCTATGTTAAAGGGCTTGTTTCTCTCTACAATTTCCTGTCTCACAATGTACCGTTTGTATCCGGGAAGGGTTCATAGTTTCATAGTTGTCGGTTTTCGAAAGAAATCAGCACATGTATATTATTTTGTATATTTTTCATTTTATTGATTTTATGGAAAGAACTGTTTATTAAAATGTTGTATCCTATGTTATAGGGCTTGTTTCTCTTTCCAATTTCCTGTTTCACAATATACCGTTTGTGTCCGGGAAGAGTTCATAGTTTCATAGTTGTCGATTTTCGAAAGAAATCAGTACATGTATATTATTTCGTATATTTTTCATTTGATTGATTTTATGAAAAGCACTGTTCATTAAAATGTTGTATCCTATGTTATAGGGCATGTTTCTCTCTACAATTTCCTGTCTCACAGTGTACCGTTTGTGTCCGGGAAGGTTCATAGTTTCATAGTCGTTGATTTTCGAAAAAAAAAATCAAATTTTCCAAAAAAATTGTTGCGAAAAAACCTCACAAACTGTAAGGATCGAAATATACTACCCCTAAAAGTATTTTCACTTATTTAAGACTGGCCCTGTATATTCATTAATATAGTCTGTCCCAAGGGCTGTATATATTCTAAAGGACTGTTCGATCGCGTCAAATTGCCGCTGTCGTAGTCGCCGTGGAATGCTACGTCACGCGCTGACCAGCGCTCCACAGTGCGGCGGATGGTTATTCTAGCGGGACAAAATCTCAAGAGCAATGTTTGGGACTTAAAATCTAAGAACGTAGCAAATGGTCTAATATATAGCAACTATATGGTTAAATTTATTTATTTATTAACAACTTAATTTATTAATAAATAAATACAAGATAATAAAACGATATGATATTATTCGTACATGATACACAAAAACCGTATTGTAAACTATTGCCAAATACATAAAATTATGATATCAAAAAACTCTTTAGCAGTTATTTTTAAATTAATTTGTAATCTTGTGACACCCTCTATAATTTATTTTAAAAAAATATATTTTATTTTGAAAATAATAAATAAGATAGATATTTTAATTTTAATTTTAACACTCGGTAATTGTAAATTCATATATTAAGTATCTAAGACAATTTTTTAAACTCAGTGCCTTTTGATGGAGTTGTTTTGTTTTTATACTATCCGATTGAAATGAATCTTTTTGGGCATTCACCTGTTAAGCTTGAACTCCCTGTGACTGCGACTACCTGTGTTGGTAACTATTGGTAACTCAAAAGATCTACATCATTCAATATATCGATATTTGAAAAAAAAGTGAAAGTTTGATATCTGCAGAACAAAGGCACGAAGGATTTTAACAAATAATATACGTACAGTAGAAAAGTACATACCTTTGGCAATCTTCAACATAATTTGGCTTTCTAATAAAATATATAAGCACTTGTAAATATTTTGTTTTCGTATGATCTCTGCCTTGCTGAGCAGAAAACGACCAAATTTGGTTGATAAAAATGTATCGAAATACAAAGAATATTTATGCATTTTTGTATCAATTGGAATGTCTACTATTTATTCTTATCAGTATAGTCTGTCCAACGAGAAGATCCTTGACAGTGATAGATGTGTCTGTCATTTTAATTTCAAAGTAGTTTATTTTATTTTACAAAGAAATAAGTTGGTACAACTGGAACGCATAGCAGGATATATTTAAAATTTGATTGACAAGATGACAAGTGATTGCTTCAAAATATTGTGAAAAAAACTGTATAAAACTGAAAAAATGTAATCGAGTTATTTTATTTAATTAAAACGGTATGTGTTAATACAAAACAAACAAGAACAAGAGACACTACATACCAAAAAATTTAAAAAGAACTATTATTTACTTTCAAGCTTTATGAAACTACCCGCATTTATGATTATATTTATCAATATAACTTATGTACAAATACAAATTTGTAATATTCCACAGGAATAAATAAAACAACATAGGTAAATAAAACAAACTATTTTATTAATAATAACACCTACCAAATTTTATACCTTAAAGGTTGATTAATTAACTTTAATCTTAATTTTTTAAACCAGTACATTTTGACATTATTTTTCTGCAGTACTAAAATCCATTATTTACCTATCGTGTGATGTCGATATTTTACAGCTACTCCAGTTTTTAGTATGTGTTTAGTTTGATCCTTCTACCATATACGAGATGCACTTATCTACGACGAAATGGTATACAAACTTTATCGATGGCAACTTAATTGGTGTATAAGACTTTCTGCCTGGGCAGCGAGTATTAACCATAAACTGTGCTCTGGGTCTACAGTTAATTTTCACTCGATTTTTCCTCCAATTGACTTCAAAAGACACAAAACACACGTAATAATACGAATCAAAATGCATCATCTTCCAAAACGCAGGATTTAACAAAGTTGACACAAAATTATAACCTATAATTTGGCAAGACTTTGACAAGCG